GTGGAAAGGTTTAGTTCTTTTTAACGAGACAGTGACGAGAAAACCGCTCAACTAGCTTCAAACGCGTTTTTCCGCAAAATTTCCGGGGGCGAATGGGTTAATCTATGAGTTAAGCGGTACAATAAACCATAGGTTTTTAACCAATCAGAACGCGCGTACTATCTTAGTTATGTTATAAAGTGCAAAATACAAGTGTACAGTATTATGTTTTCTCAGTCAAATTATCATGTGTAGGTGTTGAGTCTGTTTATAGGCAGATAACCATCGGTCTTAGTGACTGTAACTGCCTTTGGCTGCACATTTTGTTAACTAGTAGCCTGCCTTGCAAACAGTCAAACTTCTGAAGAGTTCTCTTCCTAGGATTCTAGGTCTCAAGTGATGACAAGTTCGGCTACAATGCAGGCTAACTAAATTTAGTTTTGAGAAACAGTCTCTGCATATGTCAAACATGTGGTTCAAATTTGTTAAAAAAAAGATTAAACATAATACGAGAGTTAAGTTGACTTTAGGATATATACTTTGAGGTGTATAAAAATAAATAATATGGAAAATACATGTCTTGACTTTTTTGTATGTTCAATCTGTAAATAAAATCTAACCTGCAGATTATTGCAGACTTACCATAATGGGTCTCTTATATTTGATACACAGAATGCTAACATTGACACCTAACTAAACCTGTTTCGATTTTGTATCTGATGGGTACCTCGCACTATGCACTACAGGTATATGTGAGAATATGATAAATATGAGAGCCTCGTTGCTTGCTAAAATGGTGTCATCAACCAAGAAAGAGCTTTTCAAGGCTGTTCAGATGCTATCTCGTCTTCCTGCTAATCATCTGAATGATAAGATGATTCACTTTCAGTTGTAGAAGTATTATCTTCTGAATCACTGAATTGTTGAGAACGTAATGCAACAATCTTTTTCCTTGATTCTGCTTGGGCTTTTTTCCTTGGACTTTTCCTGACAAAGAAGCAAAAAAGCCCTTAGACCCCCATCATAATAAAAATAGAAAAAAGCCTGCTTCTTAAAACCCAGTTTTGAAAGATGATGTTCCCCTGGACATAAATCTCTTCCCTGGTTGTCCTGTATGAGGTCTAGTGTTGTGACTGTAGTGCCATGTGCTCCTAGTGATTTTTAGCTTTGTGTATAACTGTGCAAAAGAAAAGGGAGTGGGTTTTGTGCTAATTGTTTCTACCAGCAGTGACAAGAGACTAGAAAGGTTTGACTAGGATACAGTGAGGGCCTCCATTTCCTACATATATGTATGCACTTGTCGAGGTTGGGTAAGCATCATTGATGATTAACCAAGTACCACCCCACTACATTATTCAAAGGAGATGAGATAGTGGGTAACGTATATTTTTACCTACATGACAAGTGTTAGAAAGAAAGGGGAAAGAGGGGGGTTGAAACAGGGTTTTGGGACACAGTGAAACGTGTCTTAGTTTGTCTCCTGAATAGTGATAATGGCTGTCACTACGATTTTAAGATGAAATCCATCAGGGAATTGGGTATTTTCAATTTTCAGTGCTATAATAACACCAAAGACAATTTCTTATGAGCACCCGAGAAAATAAATTTCACATTTCACAGGAATTGAGAAATGACAGGTAAAATAGTCATGCATAAGATTTCAATTAGTGACATTTGAAGCTTTTGAAGTTTGTTTTCTCAGGCTCCGATAAGAACCATTTCTTTGGGGTTATTTCATATTAAAGTTATTACATTTATAGCCCTTGACAAGTGTAAAAAAGGATGCAATATGCTTCAAATTATTCTGGTACAAGGTTTGCCGTCCTTCGAAAATTAAAAATACTTAATTTCCTAATGGCTTCCATCTTACGTTTCCAGGTTAATACAACTAGTAACTGAGGAGCCGAACAGCTAGAAATTTCTTTTTACAGTTCTAACTTTTAGTCAGGGGTGATCACTCATGTTCATAATAGCCAGGGGAAATTCCTTGCCCCCAGTTATTTCGTTTAAATAGAGGTTGTAGAAACATGGATCATATATTAAACAAAATGCTTTTTGGGGATCAAAGTTTGCATCTCTAAATTAAAGAGGCCCCTTTATAGAGTTGTCCCAAAGAATAAACAAGGTTCCTAATTGTTATACCCTTTCATTGTGCTCTTCCATTCACTCAAAATAGCTCTTTTTCTTCCTTTTTTTTTACAGCCAACAGATCTATACCTTATGCGCCATGTTATGTCTTCATTTCCAGATGATTCATACGAGCTAAACGATGATTCATAATCAAAGGAGCTATCTGACAGTTCACTAGTTGGCACTGGTGAGTCACTGTCTCTTTCTGATGATGATGACGATGATGATGATGATGAAGTGACATAACTAGAGGCCATGCCAGATTCTTTTTCTGAGGAGCTTTCCTCATCATAAGTTTCCTTCACTGATATTTCATCATAGACTTGTTTGTTGAGTAAAACTCTAAGGAAAGAAACAAACATGTACTGATGTGAATTCATATTAATTTAAAAATGCATGATCATTGTCTTTTTAGTGTTCTTGCTTATCTGCTGCACAAGATTTCTGCTTTAATCTTAGTGGTACAAAATTTGAAATTTAATCATCACTCCTTATGAGTTTTATAGGGGACAGAAAGTATTTGGGAAGTAGAGACTGTACGTTGTACGTTGTACATACATTGTCTATTTACATTTTACCTATAATGAAAGCTAGTTACACTTGGGTAGGGGTCCCCCTGGACACAAGTTTGCTTAATGAACTAACTAAGAAGTGTATGAATAATTCAAAAGCTGTGTTTGCATTTCCTGACATATCTACAATATTCAGTACAGCCTTGAAATTTGATAGGCAAAGTCACTTTTTTGCCAGAATTCTAGCCTGAATTGCAGGGGTATTTTTTGGGTGAGCGAAAGCTGCTTGCTTATGTTTGTAATGATGTGGCTGCCATCTTTGATTTTATCACTCAGTAAGGTCGGGGAGAGTAGAAACATCAACCCTTGGGGTAGGTGCTGGGAGCCTGCTACTCCCCCTCAGCTTTAACTAACCCTTTATAGAATTCAGCATTGTGGTTTTGCAATCATAAACGTTCGCACAGCTGAAGAAAAAACCTGCAATGTAGGCAACCAAAATTCTCACTGTTAGAGAATTTTAATATTTTCAGCTCAATTGTTAAAAGAATGAATCTCTACAGATAATTTTTTTTATTGTGTACCTGTGCAATTGATTTGTTAAGGAAGATAAAAAAAATTTCTGAAGTAAAATTGGATCAATACAGGTTTCTGGGAAACTGCCCACCTATCCCTCCCTTAAGTCAACATTAACACCTACTTCTCACTTCGGGGAAAAACATGGGGTTAGGGGAGGGGTAGGTGGGCAGTTTCCCAGAAACCTAAATTGATCGGTGAAATTTAACTTGAATAACGTACCTTAGTTCTCTTCTTTTACTGAGAGCTTGCTCCTTGTTTTTCACTTCCTTCACAACAGCTCTTGTTCTCTAAAACAAAGCATTCCTGATATTGTTAATGGCTTGCAAATTTTCAAACAAGTTTGATTTTAATCTTCCCTTTGTTCTACAGATGGTGTCGCCTGCTAAAACAGCCGTTTTCTCCTTGCTCTTTGCCGCGAGGAGGAACATCCGCGATTTAGCGACAGAAATTCCATACTGATGACGTAAAATCTGTCCGGAATCCGGTCATAAGTGCTGAATGGACGACAGAGTAGTTACATTGTTTTAGCTATTGTTTACGAATGACAGACAAAAGACAAAAGGCCACAAAGGTCAAACGTAAACACGATGACTCTATAACAAAACAGTCAATATTTGTGGAATATATCCTTCTCTCGAAGAAGAATTTGAGTTTTGCTGGAGCTCGTTCGCAGATGATCACAACACTATGTCAAAATCGACCAGAAGAAACTTAATATTGAACAAATTTGCTTTTGGAACCCCTCGACTACCAGTTATATTATGTAATCATTGATTTATATCATCAGCATTGAATTTCTGTCGCTGAGTCGCAGACGTTCCTCCACACGAAACGTCCCCAGCGGCGAGGAGCGAGGAGAAACGGCTGTTTACGCAGGCTACTTATAGTGATGAGTCGAAAACCAGGAGGAAAAAACTGAAAGGGGTCTCGTCTTGTCTTCTAACAAAGTACTATATATGTACTTTTAAGTAAATAAATAGCACATTGATACATTGATGTTAAAAAACTAAACAGCTGACTAAAATTAAAGGAATCAAATGGTCAATCCAAACTGCTAGTTGGGCTTGAGCTCATTTTCATTTGAAACTAATTGACGATCAGTCGCGACTACTTGCCTTTTTTAAAACGCAATATAATTTTTATAAGTTAATTGCAAAACTAACCTTTGATTTAGTTGTTTCCCCATCTTCATCCTCACTTACACTGTCTATTATTTTTCTTCGTTTTCGCGTAGTGCGCGCAACAGCTGCATCGCTCCTTTCTCCCAATTTCATTCTTGAGGTACTACCGTCCTCTTCGTTCCCTGCGTTGGAGGAAGTAGCTTTGCGTGAACGATTGAGGCGTTCACCAGATAGTCTATTCGGTGAAATTTCTCCGAGGGTTCTTATTTTACTAGAACGGGTTGTAACTCGTTCATTGTTTACACCCGCCATGTTTGAAATTTACAAGAAGCGATCTCGTTCCCAGTCGTAGGGCTCACATTGTCTGGCCTCTTGATATCTTTCAGCGGAGAGGGGTCGAGAGGATGGATCATTTAAACTTTGCCTCTTTTTATGAACTGTATCTTTCTTCAAGTGTTCGATAAATCTGATATATTTTTAAATCCCTTGAGTTGATCAAGGTCAACTGCAGCAAAAACATTTGCATATAATTGCATATACCAACCAGACGCAAATTACTCTGCCCTCCCATCCGTTCAAATTTTTTCTTTCGTTATCACAGTATTTGTGTCATATATGATGAGCAAAGTGTACCAGCGCTAATCATTGGAAGGGAATCCGCTGACCTTTTCAGGTGCAAATGTGGAGATTTTCTAGTCAGGTTGTTGCTCTTAATTTTCTGATTAAGTCCGGTTGCAGAAGATCTCGTTGTGGTTCTTTTGCATTTATTTTCCAAAGCTGGATATATATTATTCCAGCATATAATCTAAGACTGCAAAAGCTGGTATCTTTGAGTCCCAGCAACAGCAATGAAAGAATGTCCAAGAAGGGTAAAGTCACGCGAGCTAAAAATTGGGGTAAAGATTCATCAGTTCCAGGCGAAGAAGAAACTGCATCAGTTATTTCATTGTCAAAGGATGGACGGATCTGTGTGAAGATATTAGCAAAACCTGGAGCAAAGCAAAGCAATATAACAGGTTGAACAGTGATGTGTTGAGCCATCTTAAAATAGAAACTCTTAAATGTTTTGATGAATTCATGCGATGCATAAAAACATGCACTAGAATTAGCTCAATCAGACAGTAGGACATTGCATGTTCACCCGCGTAACGTTGTGTGTATTGCTGTATAGTAGCAGGTCAACATCAGCTGTCAAGCAGGGCTGTCAACTCCCCACGACTTCCAATATTTGTTAATAGGGAAGGCCTGATAGATGACGTCATAACACAGGCACATAACATCATTTGTAAAGAAAATACTCGTTGACTTTGATTGTCACAAATATTTCCAATGACACAAAACGCGCAAAAGAAGTTGTTTGCATTCCAACATTTGACCTGCTGACTGGCTTGCTTTCCACCAGTCACATTGTTGCCTGGATTATGACGGCATAACAGAGTTTATGAGGAAATGGTCGATGTTAATTGTACGATAGCTCAAACAATGCGAAATATTTGAAATTTCGTAATTTCTGGAAAGGTGAGTCTGCAAGAAATGGCAAACTTCGGCAATAATATCATCCGGGCAATTTCAGACTCTAATCTGCAGACCGGGATATACAGTCCAAAATGTGGAGTCTCCTGGATTATCTGAGAGAGTTGACAGCACTGAAATGATAATGATGGTGATAATGATGATGATGATAGTAATGATGATAATGACGATGATAATTTTGCTTCTATTGTGATGTTTTTAGGAAGTATAATAATATCTACTTTATCTCTTTTACAGATATTTCTTCAGATGGTCTTGGTGTCCAGATTGGAGCCCTTGCTAGAGAGGGTGAGGCTAATGAAGAACTGATTCGGTTCTTAGCAGAGGTACTGAATGTTAGGAAAAGAAGCCTCTCTTTGGATAAAGGATCCAAGTCAAAGCAGAAAATTGTCTCAATTGAATCAACAGAAATCAATATTGAGCAAGTCAGGGAGAGATTATCTCAAAATGTTTTGAAAGAATAAAGATTGATACAGTGTACCATCTTTATGACTATTCAAAGCAGTGATGGTCGAGATTGAACAATGGTACAATGACCAAGCATTCAAGTATGTGAGATCCCGGGTGTGGATAGATTTAAAGGAAAAGGGCATAAGAAAAGCAAAGGAGTACAACTTTGTTGGCCAACAACTCCCAACACCGTTTGCATACCCTGTTGCATGTTGTTGTGTGTTTTTGGGAGTTGGTGCGCAAAGTTTGAAACCAGTCAAACGTTTAGCCCTGTGCAAACAGACACAACATTGTTGGGAGTTGTTGAGTCCGTTTGCATGTAGCTTAATACTAACTGGCCTGGCACTGATGAATAGCCTGTCAATCATACTGAGGAATTATGAATTGGGATGTATAGCTATTCCCATGGACAATGGCGCAAAACCATTTTTTGACCGCCATACAGATCTGTCTGCTGGTTTTCGAGAAAGCTCAGTTAGTGTCTTTTCTTCGGTTTTCTGATGATGGTGTTCACGTGTTTTTATTCTACGTGTAGTATCTATCTACGCTAGGGCGTGGTAACAGGTAAAATATCTGCCCTGCACCACTAGGCCCCAAGGATGCCCCCTTATGGACGTTTAACTGTACTAGGGTCATGTGAACACAAGTTCGTGTACGTTTGAAATGCACCAAGGCTGTCCACATGGGAAAGGTATTTATCCTTCTAGATTAGCAAACTTATCCACACGTGATGTAAGACGGAATTCGTTTGGAGTCGTCACGTGTGGATGGAAGCGGTTAACGCGTTAAGTTTGTAGGCGCTTTAAAACTTCAACGGAACCGCGTGCACAAAGCTTTAGTAGGCTCATTTAGCAGAACAGGAACGTCAGTTTACGACGGCGCACACAAATTAAACAACTGGTTTGACCAATGGCAGAGCGGCAAATTGAGCACCGGAAGTCGAGTTAAGTCTTTTCCGCGCGCTTTCCCGTCGTCAAATGACGTTCCCGTTCTGTTGCTAAATCAGCCTAGTGTCAGGAACAGGGACCCTTCCCAAGAGTTGAACTTGCCATAAGTACACAAAGAAAAGTAAAATTTGGAGCCACGTTTGTCGGTACGAATTCAAGCCTCGCCATCGGTTTGTTCCCGTACTTAGACAAGCAACTTTCCTCCACTTTGTCTCCCTGTCCACCCGGGATTATAAATGGTTACCAATGACATACTTCTACTGAGGGTAGTAAGGGTAATCCTGCGGCGATGCACTAGCATCCCATCCAGGGGGGAGTAACAATACCTGTAGTTACTTCATGTTACTGAAACCTCCGGTTAATTAAGTTCGGATGCGTATGCCTTATGACACCGCTGTGAGGGTAACCCTGCGGCGATGGCCTAGCGTCCCATTCAGGGGGGAGTAACAATACCCCTGGGTGCTTCATGTTACAGAAGCCGGGGGTAAGCTTTGGATGCGCAGTCCTTACCGCCCCAAAGCGTGCCTTTACATTTAGGAAGAAAAGTACACTCCCTTTCTTCCTCTTATACACATCCTTTTTTCCCATCCGATTTTAGTGTATTTGAGTAGGTGTGGATGTGGTTTTAGAACTCGCAGGGCCAGGTTGACAGTCTGGGGTTAGCCCTGTTTTCATCTCCTGTGAGCGTACTTCTGTTTGTGTTTGTGTTTTTTCTTGTATGCATGCATTTCCGATATCTGGCAAATATAAATAACTTAACCTTAAGAAGAATCCGTCATTTCACAAATTGTTTTATTCCAAATTCCTATTATTCATGTGTCATAACACTCCACGCAACACTCTGTATATACATTATAATTCACTCAGAAAACTCTATCTAACAAATTCTCTACCTTACAAAAATACCTAGATTTACAAAAATAGTTTTTATCATCACTGAAGCTACTTGAAGGTGATGTTAAGATTTTTGGCACTTAATAAATAACATGCAAAGGAAAGGAAAGTTTAGCGACACGAAATGCTTAAAAGAATTAACATCGTAACATATGTTTCATAAGAAGTAGAAAAGTTGTACTTTTTTTAAAAATAAAGTATTTGAAAAGCACAGTATAAATCTCCAAAGGCCGCTTGCAAATACATTCTAATTAAAGTTCATTACAATTCTATGATTCTTTTAAAAGTTCGCCTATTGCATACGAATACAAAAGCTAAAGTTACCATATTAAATTTACCTAAGACACATGCATGAAAATGCACAGTCCATATTTGAAATTACTGCATATTGAATTTATTGCATTTACTAATCTATGCCTAAAACGTCATATTGCTCTTGAAGCTCGCTACTTGAGAAAAGAAAACCATTTCTTCACCCAGCTAGCTACTCAGCTTTGTTGTGTCTAAAAGATTAGATTATTATGGTACCATCATCACTTGGTGTACCAACAAATAACTTTTAACGCATATTGTTTGACACACAAGAAACTATTAGCAACAGGAACATTTGGCAACGTCATTTTTTTAAATGATAGGTATGGTGCCGTAAATGGCTAAAAGGAAACGGAGACAATGTACAACAACAAATCAAGATTATCTACAAAAAAAATCAAGTTGCAAGTACTTCGAGAAAATCACAGTACACGTCAGTGTGTCCATTTACAAATATGCATGGTGTTAATGAATCAAGAAATCCCTCGTCTCTGATACCTCATGGTCTGTAATTCAAGACAAAAGTATGCATAAAATTAGCAGAAAAATAAAAAGGTATATAGATGGTCACGTGGCCATCATCGTTAAATTCCCAGAGGATTTTCTTGGTACACCAAAATGGCCGCCGTGACGTCATGTGAAAACGCTCTATAACATCAATTTCAACTAGTTTACAATGGCTTTGATTTCCTTTGGATTTCTTATCAATTGGTATGTAACTGCCAGAAAATATTTTAAGCACTTGTTAGTCGGGTCGCCGGGTACTTACTAATACTTGCCTGTCGTTGAATAATTATGTATTCAGTTCATTGTCAGAGAAAGCAATGGTTTTTTAATGTTTCCTTAGGTATTAATAAAATCTAATTTATCAACCATACACCTGATCGTGTCATGACAAAATAAAAATCGTTCCTTGTATTTTTTTGTCATTTACTGGGCGCTGAAGTAATGTTAGTCAATATACCTTTTGGTCATGTAATGCTCCATTCTTTGGCCAATATGTGGTGAAGAAGACTGCATAACAGATGCTGGTGAAGAAAAAAATGGCCATAAAACAAGTTCAACGTACCAATAGGGTACTCAGAAATCTCTGCTATGAACAATTACTCTTTTTAAGGTAAAAATTTTTAAACTCGTGAACTGTTCATGGTGACTCATTGAAGCTTTGAGAATTTTTCGGTTTGAAAACTGACATGGTTATAATGTGCACCTCGTTAGAAAACTACAGAGTACAAAACACTATACTTAAAATCACTGTTAAGATGTCTTATACAGTGCATGTACAACAGTGTCTTGAAGCACTTTATTGTTACATGTACGTGCTTGTGTGATCGAGAGGATCGATAGATAGATTGTCTTTCTAGATGACAATAAAAAGAGTTAGGGCCGAGATGCCGAGAAGAAATCCTAATCGATGCGTCACCTAACCACCGACGCTTAAAAGTTCTGGGGCCCGTTTCTCGAAAGTCCCGATAATAAACGGGGCCGGTAAGCTGTCTCCGTTTACATTAAAGATCGAGGTTTCAATAGTTTTGCATCTAACATGATAAAACTGTCAGTTAATGAAACTAAATGGAGTAGTTTGCTAGCAAGGACCCGCGCTCTTATTCTCTATAATTCAATTTGAATATTTGATTTCGGGCCCGTAAAGTTACCGGGACTTTCGAGAAACGGGCCCCTGGCCCCGGTTGTTCAAACGTTGGTTAGCGCTATCCACCGGGTAAATCTCTATCCAGCGGATAGCGTAATTAATTTCCGTAATACTTATCCGCTGGATAGTTATTTATCCGGCGGATAGCGCTATCCAACGTTTCAACAACCGGGGCCTGGGTGCGAGAGCTAATGGGACGCGCGAAGGAGACACGCGAGGGGAGAGGGAGCGTGTCCCCCTCGCGCGCCCCATTCTTTCTAGCGCCTGGAAATTGCTTTCAAGCGTCTACTACGCAGGAGAGTATGCATCACTCAGTGACATACAACAACTCACCATAAGCAGGGTCAAGGGTCCTCATAAGAGCTGGAGGCATGTAATAACCCATGCGCGGGTCAGCTGCCAACCTCTGCTGTCTTATGAATTCCTCTTCAGTTAGAGCATCAATGTGGCCTGCTGTCAAGCGACTAACTGCAAGGTTGTTCGAGATGATGCTCGGATGAGCACGGGCGGAGCTGTCTTCACCTTTCAACTCCGATGCCCTATTAGACTTGGGTGAAAGATTCTGTTCACTGGTGACACTGCGATTCCTGACTCTCTCCTCTTGAAACATGACTGGCGAGTGCCGAGATTCCTTTTCGGCTTCTTTTAGCCTTTGAAGCCTCTCATGCGATTCTGTAGTTGATAAACGCGAGTGGGGACTTGAGCGTGATGTAGGTGTTGATGAAGAACGGTCGCGTTCCATGCCACGGTAAGGACTTCTCTCTTCCCTCTCCCTGCTAGTAGGCGCTGTTGACGTCACTAAGCTTGTTTCTCCATGGCTTGTCATTGGCATGCTCATGACCAGCCCGGGTGGTAGCCCCGGGAACTGAGAACCAACTAGCATCTGATGAGCGCCATATGGTAATGAACCCGCTACAGAATCAAATGAAGACAGAAATAGCTAACAATCATCGATACTTGCATGTAGGAAACTTATTGGATTAGTTCTTGAAGCCAAATAAAATTGACAAGGAAAGATGAAAGTATTGTAATGTCAAATGTTATTAAAATAAAACTTGCCTGCGTCGCAGACGCTCTAAACCTTCCGTATAGACTATACAAATGGTTTAGAAGAGTGTGTGGGCCGGCTGCAACGCAAGCTATATAAAACTAGAAAGGACAAGTTAAGAAAACCAACAAGGAGGAGTACAACGTAACAGCTAGTTTAAACGTAATCACACTAAACCCTAAGAACTGTGAAGTGATCGTTTGGCCGGATACTGGCGTAGTCCTGAATGTGACTTTTAGTAAACGTGTCCAAATTTGAAGTCGACAGCCAGAGAAGGAATCATCATCAGAATTAGGGTGAATAATTGTGTATCATAAGCTCCCCCTATGTAAGGTAATCCGGATTCCGGAATTCCGCTAATGATGACAACCTGGATCCAAGTTCCACTGACCAGGAGTCCAGAATGGGTAACAACCGGTTTCGCTACTTGTCGAATTCGGTACGTCCTAGTTCGCAACAAATTCGCTACATATTACTTATTGTAAACCACTGAAAATATTTCCTTGCTCGCCGTAGAAAAAAGTCTTTTAATCTATTTGTCGTTCTTTTAAGCTCGCCTCTCCAAGGGTACAAGTTTTGGACTTTGCAATAGGCAGCGAGACGAATATGTAGGTAGCGAACTCGAACGTAGCGAATTTGACAAGTAGGGAAACCGTTGTAAAGCCCAGAATGCAGTACTTGGAATTCGAAATCTGCCTTGGATTACCTTACGTGGGGTGAATCAGTTTATGATGTAAAACTCTGGCTGTTGACTTGTCAAAGCCCAACAAACCTGTAGATGGATCAAAGTTGCTCACGCCCAGGTGTGCCAAAAGATACGTTTGAAAGTGTGTCTTTTCATCGGAGGCTGATAAGCCGTCTTTGTATCGTGACGCTGGTATAGGTGACCTTGAAGGTCTGGGAGACCTTGATGCAGACAATGATTGAGATTTCACAACTTGACTGCAAGGAGACGCTCGGCCGGAAGAATTTTCTGCCTCAAGAGAATGATGTGCCGCCTTCACAGTAGCTGATACTGCCTCCTACAATTTAAAAGATACAAAGTGATAACAATGTTCACAAAACAGCAGATGAGATGGAACCTGCTCTAGATTATGATTTTTCACTTGAACCTCCATTCCTCAGAACTACCTTATTTCTATCCACGTGTAGTATAGGTCAGCAACGCACAACGCACGTTTTTATTTATTTTTTCTTTCTTTAGTGAACGTTTGTTAAAAAGTACTAAGGCAAAATGACAACGACCAATGCAAGGTGGTCAAATGTCAAGAAATTATCTTTTTTCTGTAAGTAGCTTTTAATCAGGTTGTATAGTATCAAACTGATCGTTGTTGTCAAAAAAATGTAGATGCTATTAATTTTTCTTGAGGGACGTTAAGTGTTTGATTATATTTTCTCCAACGTCAACTCAACTACTGTAACTCCTGCCAAACATTACAAGGTAATAATGACGTAAACGAGACCCAAAAGCAACGAGCTAATGCTACCAATAAAATCAGTGCGTTCAAGCGCGTTAGTATAACGTACTTCGTGTTAAGGCATTTCTGGAACCATGCAATTAATTTAAAACGCGTTTCCGTGAAACACTTGGCTTATCTCTGAGCTGTAAGTTACGTCAAAATAAACACATTATTTACAAACTCCTCTATAACTAAAGCTACGTGCAAACGAACGCAACGACTCCCTACATTATTGTGCCAACAATGTTGGGAGTTGTTGCGTCTGTGCTGCAGTGGTATGCAAACGGACGCAACTAGTCCCAACAACACACAACAACATGTAACAGGGTGTGCAAAAGGACGCAACATGTAATATCCAACAATGTTGGTAGTTGTTGTCCAACAATGTTACGTCCTTTTGCACAGGGTCTAATGATACACTATAATTATACATGTTATAAAAGCAGTAGCTAATTTCCTGACATTAATCAAAAAGAGTGTTTAATAACAAACCGGAGGTTTCAGATGAGCAGCCATTTCTCTGGTGCTCCTGACACCATTTTCTATCCCTTCACTTTCTCGGTTGATAGCAAGTCTGTCTGGCTTTTCAGGGGTGGTCTGTCGTTTGGGTGGGAAGCTGGCACTCATCTGTTCCTTTTGTAACTGCCTTAATTAGAGAACAGTATAAGGAATAAGCAAAATACAACTAACGACGGCAATAGACAGACTAAGAATGGTAATTTCCAAGAATTTATTAAATCAAATTTTAGACTGAGACTGCACCATTCCAAATTGTCGCTTCAGTCTATCCCACTTTACATACATCTAAAGTATGGTTATAGCTGAGGGTTTTCTCCTTTCCGGCCCTCTTTTTTTAACTGTACTGTCAGTTTGAGACTGTGCAACCTCTCTTTACAAAGTAACTATTAGAGTCAAATCTCTTAGATGGACACCCCTACCCTTGCACCAAGAATCTATCTTGGTGTCCACCTTAAAGAAAGTAAAAAAAAAGGATGGAGAACAGTTCTAGGCGTACGTGTTAGGGAGGTTTATCTTAAAGAGGTGACTGTGTAATGGAGAGTTGACTGTACCCAACTAAGGATACTTAGACACCACTTGAAAGCTAAATCATCATCCACGAAAGCCTGAAAGCAAGGGAGCAACTCGGGTCAAAAACAAAAAAATTAAAAAAAAGCCTTTATAATGCTTCAATTCACTATAAAAACTTAACTGGCCATTATGTGCTTAAAGCTGTGCGTGAGATTGGGTCGGTATTGAGTCGAATTGCACGATGGGATTGTTTTGGGGATGCTGGTGTATAGCTTCTTTTATTGGCTGTTATCAGGGTGCACAGGGAACTGAGTCAGAGCTATCCTAAACACAATCCCATGGTGCAACCCAAAACAACACCTGCCCAGCTTGAACCTGAATAAAAGATGAAAAGAAAATGGTTCTTACTTTAACATTAACATTTGTTGCTGGTGTTTCTGCTGCTGAAGGAATTCTTCCAGCTCACCCTTCTTCTCACTGGCATCATCTCTAAACCTCTTTTCAGCCGGTTCATCTGCTGAGGGTTTTGACATCACTTTAGGGGACAAGTTCTTGGAGGCGTAGCGTGAGCTGTCACTCTGACCGGCAAATCTGCGCAACTCCACGTCACTGACATCCACATGAGCTTGAGAAGTCTTTTTGGTACCAGATTCACTGATTCTTCTGTCATCTCGTGCTCTGTCACTTGATTTGGGAACATCTTTTTTCTCAAAATGTCTGGATTCTACGTGGCTTGAACTACCACTGCTTCGCTAAAAAAGGTGGACATAAACAATACTTAGAAAACAGTTATAGCTGCGTGCAATCCTCAGCAACTCATTGTTGTCCCAGAAAATTGCTATTTTGTTGCCTTTATTTATTTTTTTCCCACGAGGATAATGTTAGAAACATAAACAGGACCCTATGGAGCGAAATCACAAGGTGTGAAAATTCTTACAATCATGTCCCAACGTAACTAGCAAAACCAACAGGAGATGTATTTTTCAAGAAAAAGAGGGGAGAATTGGGTATGTTGCACCCTCTGAAAGCAGGTTTTAACAGGAAGAAAGGCAGGCTGCACCTATATGGAAATTCGCAGGAAAGTAGAAGAAAGTGGTTAAAAGGTGTTGAGAAAGAAAGGCAACATGAACCTATTTACATGGAACCAAGTTCCTACCACAAGGTGACAACATGTAAATTACACTGAAGGATGCAGAATAGCTAAGCACACCATTCAAAAAGACAAACAAGCAGGTAAATGACTGTTGGGAAATTATGTTTTACATGAATTGGGGTTCAATAAATTATGCAACCATGTACCTGTTTCTCTTGCTCTAACACAAACTGCATCCACTGGGCAAGAGCTGCTTTAGGGTCAGCGATTCCCTGTAAGTATGCCAGCTGGCTGAGGTTCTTTACCATCTCTAGTGGCATGCTGCCACCCTGCATGAATGGCTGAAAGTACTGCGGCTGTAATGTCAGCTGCTGTTGAAGCTGCAAGTTTCTCAACTGCTCTGCAGACATGGGTTCTTGTGACCTGAAGCTTTGCTCAGCAGCAGAGTCCCTAGCATCTCTTCTCTCCCTTTCTTTTTCAAGTCTTGACTTGTCTTTTGCAAGATCCTCTTTCACAATAATCACATCTGAATCTTGCCTAGCGCTATCTTCTGACCCCCTTGCTTTTTGATATGACGCTACTGGTTGAGGACTTTTTCGGTCAGGTGGTGTTTTTGGTACGGCTAAAGAGCGTGACACTGGTGATTTTGATCTTCCATATGGTGAAGGTGTTCTCATCGAAGTATCACTTTTCCTTTCACTTCTCATTTGGTCACTCATTCCTGAGGTCTTAATCCCTAGTAGAAAAGAAATGAATGCAATGATCAATAACATGTACAGCAAATTCTCAAACACTGCATGACAAGTGGTTCTCTCTATCCAGTTGTGGAGGATGATTGCCTCAGAGGCCAAACACAGCATCTAAAAACACAAATTAGTTACTTACACATCTGTAGTCCGAGAAAACAGCTGACATTTTACAACGCCACCACTGGTTTACATTGACGTCTGAGAAACAAGCACAGATATTCCATAATGATGACACCTCAATGCTCAGATCTGGGAAGTGCTTCTGATTGGCTTAAGCAAATTTCCCACGAGGCATGACCAACCAGAAGCACTACCCACATCTGGGTAGTGATGCATCATCAGTATGAAATTTCTGTGCCTGTTCTCTCAGATGTCATTTTACAGGGAAACCAGTGGTGGCATCGTGAATTGTGGACTGTTTCCTCAGTCTAACAAATCTGATGTTTTGTGCTGTTTCACATGACATCACAGCAGCCATATTGGTGTTCCAAACAAATCCTGTGGGAGTTGGTCTCTTTTCTTATGTAAAAAATTCCTTTTGTTGCCATAAATTTGCATGGATGCTGGCCACGAGTGAATACGCTCTAAACTGTTATCAAGTTTACAATAGCATTTAAACCTGGTCTGATGATTGGATGAGCTGATGCAGATCCCTGGGTTTTAATTCCTGGTCCAGTGGTTGGTAGAACAGGTGGCAGACCAGAATGAATGGCAGGACCTGGACTCCTCTTCGATAACACTGGTGATACCTCACCCACTGGAATGGGAACTTGGAGAGTATTCACTTGCTTAGTTTTGGACTCTGCTTGAGGCAGATCTGCAGGGTCATCATGGGCACTTGGAAGGGGTCTTGGAGAAGCAATGCTGTGGGATACTGGTAAGGCACAGTTCATAGAAAAATGTTTTGAGTTTCAACAGCCTGTTTGGTATTCATGATTTTAGTTATTTTATTATTAGTATTTTTGATTTGGTTTCATTTCTTTCAGAGTGTTTACTTTATGAGCCAGTCACAAAGACTAGCAATTAATACAAAGATATTACATTAAAATATTATCTCACTGTCCTCTTAAGGGGAAGTGAACAGGGGTTATTATTATTATACTGAGTTACAAAGCATTGAGATATACAGTATTATCTAGTGCTATGCACCAAACCTGAGGGGACAGTTGTTTAGAATTAACCAAATCAGTTGAAGTAAAATGAAAAACCTCTGCAACTTGCATCTTCATAAATTTATTGCAAATCCAAAAAGAAGGTGATTTTTTAACTTCCAGTAAATAATGACAAGCCAAATTTCATTGCTTTCTTAGTACTTTGTGGAACAGCTTTTGCCACAGAAACCTTGTCTTCTAAAACTGTTGCAAAATAAGATGCCATTTTCACTCCCATGTCAAAAAGGTAAATTATAACCAAAAATATTGCAGTTATGGGAGCCAATCAAGACAGGAAAACTGCTGTTCACTGATTTGGTAAAGTCTAATGGGTAATAACTTATGTTTATAGCTATGCCTTACATAATAAAGAACAAGAGGAATGTTACCTGATGTAACAGATGACCCACCAACCGATGTCTTTTGTTCAAAGCCCTTTGAAAGACTTGATGCTAACCCACCATCTGAAGCTCTAGGATATGGAAGGGCCACACCAACAGGGAGTGATGGTGGCAGTGAATTACTGTTTCTTGAAATTAATGTTGGGTGTGGTCTGGAAAGGGCTCTGGCAGCTGTCTTGTAAGACTTTTCATGATTTTCTGTTTCTTGGCTAGGGTACAGACTTTTCCTGTTACCAGTTGAGTCATTATAACCTGGTCTGCTCTTGGAATCCACAAATGTTGTTTTTGTGTTAGACTGGTTCAAGTTCACTTCTTGTTTAATTCCTTTTGTTCCCTCTGTAGGATGGAAATCATGTTCCACAATCACAGGTTGAAAAGGATTTGATGGCTCTTTCCTGTCTACTATTGAGGAATGCAATTTAGCGCTTGAGGTTGAGAAAGAGGGGGGTGATTTGGAGTCAAACCCTGATCTTGTAAAAGAAGACAAATTCTTCACAGTGCCAGTAAATAAAGTTGCCGAGCTTGGGCTTTTTGTCCTCAACTTATCGGGCAAATTGGGATTTCTGTTGAAAGCCTCTGGAGTTGGACTATGGGTTCTAGCAATAGTGGCAGCAACACGAAGCTCGTTGTTTGGGACCCTACTGATACTAGTATTCTCTTCCAAGTCCAAGGAATTCCTAGCATTCCCAGTTGTTCTTATGCTCTCAGAGGGTAATTTGCTACAGTCTGAAGCCAGCTCAGAACTACTTGTAGCTCCATTACGCAGAAGTTCTGGATATCGAATAGGAGCTAGAGTAGTTTTTGACTCTGTACTTCCTTTCTTATCCATATTTGATGTTCTAATGCATTTATCATAGAAGTCATCACCATAGTTTCTGCATTCAAAGACTTGGTATCTCACTGATGGAGCATCGGTATTAGTTAGTGGTGGTTCAATTGCACTACGTGAAATACTCTTAGAAACAAGATCCTCTGTGGAAATTCCTCCACTTGTAGTCTTTGGAGTCTTGTTTTCTACCGCTATTAACCTTGTATCTGTGTTCCCTTGCAACGTCACTGATGACTGTGAAAGAGAATTTGTGGATTTGCTCCATGCCTCAGTTTTTATATTTTGGCACTCTGACAAGGATTTAGTTTCTTGCTTCACGTTTCTCTTAACATCTCTGTCAGTGTTCTCATTTCTCATGTCAAAATAAAAGCTGCTTCCAAGCTTAGTTCTTAGTGAATCAGAATTTGAGGAGCTCTCACTGGATTTCATTTCTGGTTTCTTTATCTGGGTTAGGCAGTGCCCGGAGTCAGGAAAAGAGTTGTCCCTTTCTTTCTCAGACTTTACTTTATCAGTACCCAAATCTTTACTGGTGTATTCAGAATCTGTGGTAAACAATTGTATAGAAAAGCAAACTTGTCAGGCACTTATTAAAGGTACATTAAATACAGCACATTTATGTTTACATACATGATTTATTATTTTCATATACATTTGTCATATTTAATGTTTGTTTTATTTTTGAACTGCAGTTGCCATTTCAACATATTATTTGTGCTTTTAATACTTATGAATGTCAAGGTATTAAACAAATGGCTATCCAGGTATCCTACAGATATCCAGTTTTTTGGAATAACAAGAACGCTCTCAAAAGCATTTGTCCAACTTGCTTGGAGATTAGATAAGCCTTGAGGAGGCGATTAACTAGAAACAGGATTTCCTCTATAAATGTTTTTCAGGTCCTACTTCATTGACAGTTGAGTATTCTTCAGGATATTAATTTACTTTTTACGTCATATTCGTCTATTTGTTTTGTCAATCATATCCAATGTGCATTTAAATACACAAAAATCAAGGGCCTCAATTCGAGAGAATTATTACATCATTGCCAAAGAATGAAAACAGGATGAACGTGGTGCATCGTTTCAATCATCACTAAAAAAAACAGCATGCTCACAACAATAATAATTAAGACTCATTTGCATGATTATGAGAGTTTACAACACCCGGCTCGTTAGCATGACCATCAAAGTTTTGCTCAGTAAGATTCTTCTTTTTTTCGACCACTGAATAAAATTGAAAGGTTGACTGGAATAAGGCTTCAAATACATGTAAGTGATTTCTGATAAATGGACACATTCTGCACCCACATTGCTTTGTATTGACTAGTAAAACAAAGTGAGAATTTGACTCTACATCAAAAGTCACTGAGGCCTTATTCCATGTCCCTTACAAAATTAATGCTTTACACTTAACACTTATACACTGTAAACAGGTACTCAGTGCTGAAATATGACGTTAACAAGCCAGCGAAATGGGACTGGAGACTGCTGCCACTTAAAGAGACTGTGTGGAATCAAATAATTAACCAAGTGCCACCTGATGCCATGTCAAGCATACACAGAAGACACTATGGGCCCCGTTTACATGGTGCCCCTGATATTAAACGTGTAAATCAATGCTTTTGCTGTTGCCTTACCTTGACCAGGGTCAATATCTTCTTCATTCTCACTAATATCTTCCACTTCAATGCCCAGCTGGTTAATAAGTCCTACTCCAGTGTCAACAGCCTGACGTAAATCAACTGGCTGCATGCCAGGAATGCATAACTGGCCCTCAAACTGCTTATTGCTTAGACTGTTATCCCGAATAGCTTTTTCTACATCCTCAACCAAGTCTTGGGATTTACCACTACCATTTGCCACACTAAACCCACTGTCAATAACAGTTTCCCAAACTTCTTGATTGTTTTGAGCTGTCTCTTTAATCACAACTTTGCTGGCTGTTGGCATTTCCCCTGTCTTTGCAGCACTACTTGCTGGCTCTCCTAATGATGCATGAGCCACAGCTGAGCCATTAGCATCCTCTGGTGTGACATTCTCAACCTGCACACATCTTGCTCCAGTTTCCAACTTCTCTATTGGTTTGAACCCAGACTTGGAATCTGAAATTCCTTGTTTACCTTGATCAATGCCAAGTTCCCTATTTTCCTTTCTTATCTCATGTTCACAAGCCTGTTGGCACTTATCAGAAATTTCTACAATAGTTGTCACAGGCTCTTCCATGTTGCTGTCCTCCTCACTGGCAGGAATTGGTGATTTGGATATCTTTGCCTCCTTTGTATTTTTACCATCTAATGATGGTTCCAGTGTTTCTCTTTTCTTGTTACCTCTCGATAAGGAGTCACTCTTTTTCTCATTCATGGAAGCAATGGCAGCTGCTAGGGAAGGCGACATGCTTCTTGCTCGTGCACTTACTCGTGAAGTTCTTCCTTTGAAACCAGGCTTGGTATCAGGCTCTTTAAACTCTTCCACAGGAGAGGGACTGGTGCTAGCAGACCTCTCATCTGATTGGTTGGACTGGAATAGAAAGGAGTGAATTACTTCTATTTTAACAAGTTGAGCGTATTTTTTTCAACTAGAATTAGAGATTAAAAGTAGGGAAGAAAGACAATGGTTATGGTGTGGTTCGATATCATCCCTGGTTTAAATTTTAATTTCCTTTCTTTTACGCTCATTATCATACATTATCACAACCAAAAACTAAGGAAAATAGAATTTAAACCAAACATAAAATTAAACCACAACAGAATTAAAAAAAACCATAACTTTCAATATGACTGGTATGTACATGTACCCTGCAACAAGTTATCCACATTCAGATATTTCAAGTTTGAAGCACACAACCTCAAAAATCTAGCACCTTGGGCTCCAGTTTGCTTCACTACTTTAGGCATCCTTCCAATATCATCAAATGTAGTAGTTGGCATACATGTACTCATAATGTTGTAGTTAATTTGATTTTTGGTTTAAATGTTACTCTCTTTTGTTTCTAACTCATTCTCATACATTACCTTAGCCAGAAACAAGGGAAAATGAAACTGACCAAGAAAAATGGAATAACACATACACTACACAACTGCACATCTGTAGGATTGATACAAGATTCCAAATATGTGGGTTCCCCCGTTACAAAAGCATAGACAGTAGCTGATACTAATGTTTATAATAAGATACATACTTCCTCTAAGTGGGCATGTGCCTGATGATAGCGTAATCCATTGATATGCTTATACTTCTTGTCACAGCCAGGTTCTGGACACTCTATCAAGGTGGGAGATGGCTGAGGAGACACAGTTGTCTTCATTGTGCAGCTTCGCTTGCCAGGGCGTGGTCCATCCTCGTCATCATCCATATTTTTTGCTCTCCTCTTGCCAATGCCTTTGAACACTTGAGATTTTGGAGGTGGGCCATTGGCAGCTCCTTTCTTCCTGCCACGCAACTTGTGCTTTAAAGGTGTGGCTGCAAGTTGTGAAAGATACATTGTGCACAGGGTATTAGAAATCTAATCCAGATCACTACTGACACAAGTTAACTGGGAAATGGATGAAAACTACACCTTCTTTAACAACTCCTGTAGCAGACGACTCTGAGATGTTCTTCTGTCTTCTCTTTCCCTTTCCTACCTTTCCTCCCATCTTTACTTCATTTTCACTTCCATCCGCAGCAGGAAACCTGTGAGAACAAAGAATAATCAGGTGTGTGAAAAAAGGAAGGGAGGGATACTGCTCACAACATAATAGTAATTTATGGCACTGGTCTGATAAAACTACAGTGACAGGTGTTTTTACACTAAGACTACAATAATATTATTGCACTGTCATGTAATGATCTGTAAGTCAATTCTTAGCTGGGGTCCAAGTACATTGTACCTTACTAGTACTTAATTTCGCGGATAATTTAATTTCTTGAATTTGGCAAGAGAGTATTTCACAGGGTTTTATTTTCAAAACTTCAACATGCAAACATGAGAAAAGGGCATTAAATTTCACGATTTAGGCATTCTCAACTTCATTTTATTTTTAACAAATTTCTGAAATATTCTACAAAACCGAGCTTACCAGCGTAACCAGTTTGAAATAAGTTATATTATTATAGATACATATCCTGTAAACTGTTGTTGCTATTTCAAATTGATAATATTTTTTTTCTGTGGTTTGAATTTTTTACTTAAGTATTTAATTTCGCATGCTTAAATTTCATGATGATTATTTTTGCAAGTCTTTAATTTCACGATTTTTTTGTAATCGCAAAAAACGCAAAATAAAATAATTAAATACCAATAGGGTACATCTACTAGCAGTACCAGTGTTTTATCAGATAACTAGATAACTCAAGTGGGTTAACCATCTAATGACATACATTATACATGTAGGCTCTTGATTGTCTGATGCAGCTTCTCCATGTTTACATCTTGAAAACAATTATTAAATCATAATTGTGCAAAATTTGATGTCAAGAAGACCACATATCCAAGCCACAGTTAAAGTAGTGATTTACTTAATATTCACAAACTTTGAAAATGTATGAACAGTACCTTGGACTGGCCCATGCATGCTTGGAACAGTCTATCAGTGAGCCGCAATAAAACTTGTTTCTCCATTTGATATTTACAACCAATACCCCTAAAACAAACACAGCAGAAAACCCAACAAATCACAGTTTATTATCATTATTTTAGTTAAAAAATCACAAACTTTGGTATTATTATTTCTACAACAGCTAATTGAATTGTTGGATCCGAAAAAAAAAAATACCATAGTAAAAATGGTTTGGCAGCTTTGGTCAGACATGAAGGACACTCACATTCAAGTACAGTTTGTAGTTTTACTGAAGAATGTTAAAACGTATTACTTTTAGAAATGTGCTACATGTACATGTATCTACTCCTGGACCAGGTTGTTCAAACCAGTATCTAGCAGGCCCCGTTGCTCAAAACCTGGATAGCGCTATCCACCGGATAAATCACTACCCAGTGGATAAATATTAGGGGAGCCAATTGCGCTATCCAGTGGATAGAGATTATCTGGTGGATAGCACTATCCAGCTTTTGAACAACTGGAGCCAGATACATTGTAAGATTAGGGAAATAAATTGTGTTATCCAGTGGATAGAGATTTATCTGGTGGATATCACTATCACCTTTTTGAAAAAGGTGTAAATCTACGTTGCTCAAGAACCTAAAAAGTGATCTAAAATTCGTGTTTACTTGATTTTTACAATGCAATATTGTTTATACTTGCATTTTAGAGAATTATTGAATTTTACAATATCATTAAAATTTGCTGAAACCACTCTACTTTCTCAGACAATGACAGGAAGAAACCTTGAGCATGTTGATCACTGCTGAGTAGTATTACTTTCCATTGCCTCAACTCCAATACATTTGAAAAATTAAAGCCAAAAATATTACAGTTATGTAAATGAATTTGGTAAGTTATCGTATTAAAGTTATATATCATAGCCATAGCATACTAGAAAACTAAAGGTAGCCATACCTCCTATTTCATGACATACTATCCCATGAAGTGTCACAGGAACCCCAGGAGACACTGAGGTTGAGCCACTCTCATCTCCAGGACACACTGAGTTTGGAAGCTTTTCAAGAAGATCAGCTAATGGAATATTACTGCCATCCAAGCCTGCCATGAAACTTTGCAATCCTGTAGGACACATCTGTTTGAACAAATCAAATAATTGGTTAATTCTAAAATGTATCTTTATTCATATTTTTGCGGTTTATTTTTATCTTTTTCTACACAACATTTTCCTCTTCTTATGTACAGTATGGCAATGACTCATTATGTAAAAGTTAGAGGACAAAAAAACAAGAAAGCAAGTGGTACTACATGTATGTAAAAGTACTGGCAAAGAAGTTTCATTTTATTCTTTCATGACTATGTGCTCTGGCAAAAACAGAAACTGTCTAGCTGTTACACTACACACAAAATCAAGCCAAACCATTAATCAGCTCTCTTTGTTAGGAAATGACTAGGCTCTACTTTTCATATATGAAAAACCATTGTTATATTCCTAGACTTTCACTCAACTAAACAGGGACTGCCAATGGTTGATTTTTGGTCACATGACCTTGACCAAACTCAAACGTATCCCAATTGTGATACATTTGAGCAATTGTACCCCGCTTGGGATACATTGCAGCACGTAATCAAAACATGGTGCAAAGAGGCGTGACAGAAGGCAGGGAAAACACTAACAGTTTTCTTTTTTGTGAATGAACACACAACAAACATGAAGCTTCAAGCTAAAAAGCAATGACTTTCAAGGTTATCCTAGAAGAGAAACATCAGCTGGTGGAGGAAAAAGATGCAGATGATATAAGGAAAGTACTTTGTAAATCATTCATTCAGTGGTTTTGAGAATTAAATGTGTGTTGTATAAGCACCGAGTTGACTGATTTGATTTGCTCCAGTCATTCTTTTGTTGCTGTTGAAATGAAAGTCTAGAAATAAAACACAAAACTTCATGGCAGGTCCCACGGGAAACCAGTTAGTTTTGTTTTCCCTCCAGTTGTGATGTTTTCCTCAACTTCGTCGTGGGAAACTTCAGGACTCTTGGGAAGACAAAACTAACTGTTTCCCTCGAGATCTGACATTAAGTGTATGATAAACAATCTAGCTGCTAGAAGATTAGGAATTCATTTACATGTAGGAATGAAAAACCAAAACAATAATGTACAATGACTATCAACACTCAACAGTAGGGTGTTAAAGTAAATTTATGACTCTTTTGACCCTTCATCCCTACACTTTGGGATTGAAAACAGCACTAGATCATTACATGTACATGTACGTGTATTTCTAGCTGTGGTGTAGTAATACCTCTTGATCATCCGGCTCTTGCTTGATCTTTTCTGTCTTTATACTCTTATCATTTCCATTTAACGAGATATCATCATCATCATCTTCATTATCCTCATCCTCATCTTCATCTTCTCCTTCATCATCATCATCATCCTCATCATCATCATCATCATCTTCATCCCCGTCATCATCCTCATCATCATCATCACTTCCATTATCTTCTCCATTTCCATCTGCCCCAGAATTGCCACCATTGCTAGAACTGTTTTCATAATCTCTAGTACTTTTGGATATTTTTCTCCCGCGATTTCGACTGTTGCCTTGAGACTTTTGATTGTAGTCCTTGTTATCGCTTTTTCTTCTACCGCGACTGACAGCTTTCCCTCCCTTTGATGCCTTATTAGGACTCAAACACTTATTACCAACAGAAGATATGTCACCTTGGTTACCCACTGCTCCATTCTCACTTGAAGGCGAAGATTTATCCAAGGCACCATCAGTCTCTCCGAATTCTTTTTTGATTGTCTCGATACTTTTCAAAGATGATGGTAAACACACATCATCTACTCCTTGAACTGAACTTCCACACCTGCTCTGGTCACCTTTCAAAGCATCCTCTTTTTTTACTCCATCACCTTGTACATCCACTGTGTCTAATTTTCGCTCCAGGTCTTTAGCATGAGGTGCACAGGATGTTAAACCAACTGAAACCGTCATTGTTTAAATTCAAGGGCTAGCAGACTGTTTGTAACTCATGCAGAACACATTTACTTTGTCACGACTCTGAAAAACAAAAACCAAATATTTGTGATATTAATATGACAGTAATGAATGGATGCCTGTAATAAAGTCCCACATGACAATCTGACAAACTCATAGATTTTTCTCCCAGTTTACCTTGTATGTGCCTATAAATCAATTCAAAGGGGAAATTGATATTAGATCAGCAGTCACTTAAGGGCCTTATTCCACACAGCTTTCTTTAACCTTCACAAAGTATATAATAAATATTTATCTTACCATAAGAAAAATGTGGAGCACATTGCGAATATGAAAAGGGTTATGTCTTAATATTAGTTTGGAAATCAATTTGACAAAGAGTGCTAGTGTTCCACATGACAGCAAACATGTACATGACTGTCGTTTCCTTTCAATATCAGAGTCAATGCATGCCAACAAAACAATGTGTGGGATAATTTCAGGAAATAACTAAGGGCATCAAGATCAAGTACTTATAGACCCCACATTATTATATTGCAAAGCATGTGGTGTTCATGCTTGAGTGACATTCTTTTTCAGTTAGACGGTTCATGACGTCCAGACAAATATAACATTCTTGAGAACTCTAAAATTAATTACAGGAAGTTAAAATGACCGCACTTTGCAGGTATTGGTTCAATATTCTCTCTAGCATATTACAATGCCTGACCATCAATATACACTGCCTACATACACAAGACCAGAGGTAGTTTAAAATCCTTTGTTTTGCCCAGTCACCAAAGAAACCCAAATCAAGAGCAATATTTTTTATAAAAAGTGCACATGGACTTTAACATATACCCCCGGGCAATCGATTAATATTTCACAAGAAAAAATCTTCGCAAAAACTGTTTGAAAACACTGCCAACGTACAGGATATGTAATAAAATTGAATGCCTTTAAATTAGTTTTATTATTGTGTTAAACGAAACTAAAATTTAATTTCAGTCCAGTTTGTCCTCTTGAGAAAACATACATGTACATGTCACTTGTCTCTTCTTCAAATTAATTCTTTGTTTCAATTTGAGTCATCATTTTGTCATTACAATATTGGCCATAAAACCAAAGAATACTTGCCATGCATACATGTACTTGGATCAGAAGACCTGAATATTACATGTATGGCTCTAATGACCAAGTTTTTCTCTCTTATATAAATAAATAAATACTCTTTGATTACAGTGCAAACAGAAACCACCTGAGCAAGTTACGTTGCCATTGTGAGAACCTGATTACATAAGGTAAAATTATTATTGCTTCTCTTAGTAAATCTAAAACCTTAACACCAGGCATTAAACATGCACTATTTAATGTTTAAAGAAAGGCAATAAATTAGCAACATTAATAAAACCTTTGTATTAGCATATTAGTATAAGTATTCTGCCCCATGTGACCATAAATGCCTAATTTTGACAGTGAGGAGAGATTGGGGCTATAAAACAAGACTTAATCTTTTCAAAAACCACAAGATTAAATTAATGTTTCAAATTAGCATTCTAAAATCACTGTCTCTTGTAACTTGTTCATTGTGATTGTTTTTTCTTCACTCAGAAGTTAGCTACAGTGTAGAAGCAACAGTATTCTCATAGGCAAGCAAAAAAATTAAAGCCACTTGTAACTGTTCAGTATTCAGACTTTTGAGAATGTATTTCATGGAAGAACATACGATTGAGATCACCATGGTAAGTGTAACTATTAATTTAGTTCTAGGAGTGAAAGGTACTGGACATAATGAACATCTATCAGAAATCTACTTTGAGATAACTGATGAAACAACATTATTACAGACATATTTATAAAATAATAGCACTGCATTGCAAAACGTTGTTTCAAGGGAGGTTGGTTTTAATACTTAAAATGAACTGCCTACATGTACTTTAAAATTGAGGGGGGTTTAATATGTTGATATACAAGGGTTAAATGAGTTACCTTACTTAGCCAGTTCATGCATTGCAAGGTATGAAAATAAACCAAATACACCTGTAATTTTTGTGATGTTTATAAATCTCTTGCATATAATACTTCATAAAAGAATAAGAGCATTCCATGATATTACATTTGTAAAATAAGAAACTACAAGATAAGACTAATAAAAATTAAAGACAATGAGATTTTTTAAGGTCTACGTGGGAAAACGGTTCTAAGAATAGTAATCTTTGAATGTGTCTATTGAAAGAATCATGCTGTTTTAAATATTTATCAAACAAAATGCAAATTTGTTACAGGTCACTTGACAAACACAGTTGTGTAAGCCACGCTTCATTTCATTTTCAATTGCCTGGGAATATTAAATAGTTAAATTTTCAACTACATTTCACCAAATCAAATCTGGAGAAAACACTTCAACTATACTAAAATGCATTACAAATATGATCTATAACAATATTATTGTGTGACTACCTGTAATATGATATTATTTTTACATTCCCCAAGCTGAAGTTTTACTTTTCAACTATACAATGGATACAATACAAAGGCCCTCTAGAACAATTAACAATGGTTATCACATGAGAGATTGTCACTGGTTACAGGGATGTCCAAATAACAAAGTCAACCAGGCCGCTGGGAAAAACACTAAAGACAATAGTGCACATAAGATTTAGATAAACGTTTAACTAGATATAGGCAATATCACGTTATTTGAAATCTTCATCAAAAAAATTTTGCAGCCGATAAGTTCGTAATAAGTTGCAATTCTATTTTAACGAGCGAATGAGGAGGAAACAATTTAAAATCGGGAGTTAAATCCTTTTTCTTGTGGTTTTTAAATCATTACTGTTCGATCGAAAAGACATGTAAAATTAGCAGGATGTTTTTACAATGGCTAAAAATGGCTTAAAAGGTAATCCCGGAGGACGTACAAAAAGTGTAATTGCTTCAATTGATTGAAAACTTGAAAGGTTGTCTGAATCTTGGGGCTAACTCCATAAAATTCTGTAAAAGGGATTAAATACTTTAATCCCGTTGTACGAAGTTTTAAAACATACCAAGCGATTTTCTTTCAAATAAGAGAAGTATGTGACATAAAATGCAAGCTAATCAAAGGATTTAGCTTTATCAATGGTTTGCTTACGTCAGTGTCTTGCTTGAATTGTTCAAAAGCGTAAAAACAATATATGCCGTCCACCGCGGTTAAAATTTCCGCTATGGAGAGCACGGCGTTATTTTCAAAGTAGCACATTTCAAAATAATGGAAACAGATGGGAAGGAAATAAAAACACTGACGAAAACAGACGTATGCAAAACTTTTCCGACCGTCAAAGGATTTGCGAGTCCGACAACATGTATCAAGTTATCAAAACAAAATATCAACACATTTTAATAGCTCGACCGTTTATCGGCTCCATCAAATTGCTTGTAAATTTGAGAAAATTGAAATTGAAACATTTTATAGCGAAGCCGATATTCAATTTACTGACCTTTAATTTTTTCTTATATAACTGGGGCGCGATCTTGTTTACGTGAACTATTCCCCCGTGTGGTCGTAAGCTAAGTTCTTGGTCATGTCCGTTCGCACTCAGGAAAAAAAACAACGTATGCTCATTATAACGCTTACCTTTTAATACAGCACGTATAGCAATCATCTGCCTCAAAAAGTGGAAACTTCACAACAGTATTAGCCTGCAAATTTACAAAGAAAGTGTTTAAGCCTGTATAAAGTCTTATCAAACCATGGTGTAAAAGACATAGCGTGGGCCACTCAAATGGGTGGGCAACAAAGATCGCTTCGACAACAATCAGAATGTAAAATTTAAAACACGAATGTTACTCTTGTCGTATTAAAACAACGTCTACGACTAGGGCCTATTTAAGTAAGTTAGCGTGCAATATACTGATTTTTCGGCGAAAGTGATAAAATTAGAAATTCAAATCGCCACAGAGCTATGTTTGTTATTCATAACATTACATATTCGACGATCACTCCTGTAAAATTACTGTTTTCGCCATTCAAACGAAAGAAAATTATCTTGACACAACACCCTAACAGAAGCCTTGGCAATTTACATCCATTAACAGAACCATTTCCCTTTCAAACTCCTTAATTCCTGAGTTGTTCACGATTTTACAGTTCACGCCATACATATACAGAGATACTTGAAATACCAATTGGCTCAAGACGTAGATAATAAAAAACCATAAAATGTGATGCAAACCTCGCAAAGCTTCGTCCTCTTAGTTGTAATACCAAGACCAACTCGTTACAGATCCAGTTTCACCAAAAGAGGCGTTTTTCGCCCGAAAATAAAGATTTTACAGCGTTTTAAACAGGACCACTGAAAAAAGATGCCAGCTACAAAAAGGGTCGGGCGGGATTTGAGCCACAAAAGCAATCAGCAACCGAACTGGCCAATCAGAAAGCTCAATTATCTTGTCACGCTTCACACGCTATGTCACCTCCACGGGTCGCCGATCAAATACAAACGCTGTTTCTGTTTATTTTTTTACATGTAATTTTCTTCTCCACGAAAAATTATCAACGTTATTTTCAATTGATGAATGCTGAAATCGAAAATCCTTTTCTGCGAGAGGGCAATATCTCCCAGCGTTATCGAGGAAAATAAAAGCAGGAACGCACTTGCGGAACTTTTAGACGCTAAATTTGGAACCGGTCTGACAGCTATAAAAGCTTCGAACTTCAAAACTGCTGACAGACATAAACGCTCTCGAGTTTTAAGAAATTTGTTTCTAAATAAGTATAAAAATCCCAAAAAGCTCCATACCCAGACAAGAATTAATTTTGTGTTTTTTGTGGCATCCCGGTAATATATTTCGCATACTTGCGGGTAGAAATTAAATTTATATCTGCCTTACCAGGGTGACAAAATAACACTTTCGGGGTGTGACGATGACGAGAAAAATAATCCCTAGAGGACATGCTCTGGATTAATGCCAGTCATAATACTATTGTTTTGGAGCAGTCGAGGATAACATCCTTCAACAAGCCTCTAGTAGTTTCTATTGACAATGTAGAAAGGTGCCCTTGGTTAGTCATTGTGGAAAGCCAATATTTCCGTGAAAGCCACTTTCAACCCAATTAGATACCATCGACGAATTAAAATCGGTAGAGATAAAATTGGCAAGGAAACACAGACAGCTAAGACAATGGTCTAAATTTATTTCAATATCTTCACGCCTTTTTATCATTTTCGAGTTAACTAAAAGAAATAGGGAATAAAAATGCAAATTCATTCCTGAAGCAGGTAGAGTAGAATGTTTGTCTAACCTCGCTAAATCATACATTTTTGCTTATAAATTTGCAACGAACCACAAAGTTAATTCTTTCTATGGGGCCAAACAAAGTATAAGATATTTAATATATTAGCATTAATTGTTTCCTCCGCGTTATAATCGAAATCTCTGATACTTATGCAAATTTTTTTAAGAGAACAAAAACAAAACTCATGTGTTAGGTACGTTCTTACCTGATTAGGTGGTGAGAATTTCATAATTCTCATAAAATTTCAGGAACAGTGTTAACTCAAAAAGCCCAGATCAGAGAAGAAAAAACGGCTGTAATATCATCAGAGATAAACCTCGGAAAACAATACGCACACACATTTACACACGTGCGAGAAATGAACGCAACAAAAGATACGATTGGTTTTCCGTAAACCATTGTTTTGATAACGACTATAAATTATTCAACGGAAGGCAAATGGTTGTTCAATTCAATTGATTCATATAGTCTTTACAAGGTGAGAAGAGGGTCTTTTTTGCTGTTGTTGTTGTCGCTCAGCTGTGTTATTTTTAAATCGGAAAGAAGGGAGATCAGACAAGTGACTTTTTCGTTTAACTCTTCATTTTGTTTAGAGCTACTATTTAAACTTGACGCTGTGACCATGATGAAGCTGGCGCAAATTTTTGCGACCTGCACCAGATTATAAGTGTTTATATAGTAACAACTGGCTACTACAAAGGCACAATGTTACGCAAGATAAAACAAACTCCGAAGTTTCGGGGAAGGGTGATGAAAGTGAAAACTATTTGCTTTAACCAAGGATTAATTGGAAAGAAAGAGTCTTAAAAACAGGCACAAATAAATGTAAAAAGAAATACGCTTTTTTCTTTTCCTAAATTTTCTTTTTCGTCTTCCGCTTTATGCTAATTGCGTGTTGAGTTTGTTGAACCGACAAATTTAGCAGGTTGTGAAATTTAAATCAGTGTTTACAAGGGAAATTACATCAATCTTCGAAGAGCCTGGATTCAAAAGATATTGAGACTCGATAGAATTAAGGGCGATTACCAGAGACTTTGATCCTCTCCACAGTTCCGTACCGTTTGTCCACTCGCACCGTTATCCAGGCAGCTTTCAACTAAGCTTTTCGGATTCGAACTTCAAAGCCATATTTTCCGTTTTTCCAGTGGAAATCTATAGAAAATTTAATGCGGGTTCTAGCCTCGTAGCCATCCCATTTTGTTTCTTAATCTGATAATTTCATTGTATCATTTTCAGGACTATTAAAAAGCTCGATCTTGAATGTTACATTGGCAAACAATTTTTCGAGTAATCCGTCTGCGCTCAGTAGTTACCGTTTGTAAAATAACTCCCTTTAAGCTAAGTATACACTCGTGTGCAGTAAAGAAACGTTGAAAGAAAACCTTTGCATGTATTTACAAGCTTAAAGGTACGGGAAAACGGGCAACAAGTGAAGACGGGCAACTTGTTTTGCAACATTCAGCTGCAAAATTACCTGAAAATCGATGTTGCGCATTTTTACACCCACGAATCAAACCTATCGTGGAACAGTTAGCTTGTTGCAGGTTGCGAAACGTTTTTGGAGAAAGTTGAGATTAGTTCTACTTTTTGCAACAAAATCTATACCTTTTTGCGCGTTTTACCGGCTGAGAACTTAGTCCCGTGTATGGCGTGACTCCCGGGTACTGTTGTCCAATCAGTTGTCAGTATTTATGCAACTGGCAACAACCCGATTTGTTGCAAGACGGGTTTGATCAAACGCGTAACATCGCTTTCAACACCTACTGTAGTAATGCTCCAAAACAAGTTGCCCGTTTTTGTTGCCCGTGTTACCGTACCTTACATAGGGTTAGCAGTGAAAACCGCATACGACGTTCAATACATGATATCCCAAAATTTAACCACCCTCCTTTAACTACCATCGATTTATTTTTTAAATACTGTGTAAAGTTCTAAAAAAAATCCAACAAAACATGGAAAAGACGACAAATATCTATTATATAAAAATCTAAATGAAATTGTTTCGAAAGCGGCCCGTTTCCCTGGGCCCGCATGTTATATTTGTATCTTGATTTCCCTAACAACCTTCTTTTGTTTCACTCTGAATTTCATATGCATTCTGTAAAACTGTATATATACATACATACATACAGACAGACATACAATACATACATACATATATTTTATTTATGCTCGAAATTTGCAGAGTAGCTGTGAGTTAATATCTTCGAGAAAATAAGTTAAAATAAAATAAAATATGCCATATTACAATTCTAATATGGTATAGTATGTTTATAGCTCAAGTTCACAGGAAAATTGAGGAATTGCACAAATAGTTATACTAATGCACAGACAACTCTAAATTGACGCTTACATTTCTCATATAGGCCTTTATTACATCCACTTTGAAATCCCTGGTGATCGTTGCATTCTGATTGGGTCTCAGCAGTGTGAGATCGTCGAGATCAAGCGCTTTGCGTTAAGCGTTGAGTCGAGGCTGGGGATCAACCTCGTCCCCAGGGCTTTCCCAGGGCCCCTCCCATTTTCTTAGGGAAAAGCCCTGGGTACGAGGCTGGCCTGGCTTTCAACAAGATTGAAAAGCAGACTAAAAATAAAAGGGGAGTTCACGTGCAAAGAGTCGAAGGATCATGCGAAGATACATCAGTAACCCTAGCCTTCTTAACTAATGGCAGTGCTCAAGATAGCGAGCCTCTGGCAGCGAGGTCTAACAGTCCGGAGGCTCTTCCTAGTCACCAGAATCCACTGCTGAGTGGGGCGCAGTGCAACTTTACCAAGACACCTCATGTGCTGTTTCAAGAGCAAGGATGGACACAAAGGGACGAGGCAGGAGGAGGCAAGTCTTTGGGGCAAGAACGTCCCCCCTCGATCATCAGCTAGGAATTACTTAATAGTTTTCAGAGATAACTAGATCAATTTCTTACTCAACAAACTGTATATGACTGTATAAGACCAGATATAGTTACATATTATAGTTATGGAAATACACAATGGCATAATAATCGTCTCTTCTATTAAACAAATTGCATGACCCGAATAGAGGTTTTTACTTAGAGTGCTGTATCCCAAACCCCAAAGTTAAGCCAAGCTTCTTCCAGCAGTTCCCGGATGTATGACGCTCGAATTTTCCCGTCTAAATTTTCCTGGAAACACAGGTTCATGATCTCATGAAGCTAAAACAAAAACGTTAAAGAAAGTTGAAACAATGTTAGGAACTTTATTTCTTTCATCCAAAGGTTAATATTAAACTACATGCATTTGTTGGGTAACTTGCAGGTAATCATGATCACTTGTGATCATGAATAAAAAACGGTGGCTAAATACGAATGGGATTACAGGTGCGAAAAGGGTTTGGTGCGTCAACGAAAATCTTGAAAAATAATATCACTTAATTTAACTCAGGCAGGCAGTCACTCTTATCTAAAACATAGAATAGCTACGGGGGCGGGGGGTACTTCCTTATAAGAGGCTAATGGGGATGTTCCGCTAGATGTGGTCGCATTTTCACGACTGGATTAACTATAATGTGGTTACATTTTCAATATATTTACTTGAATAGGGGTATTGGGTAAGAAAGCTCTGCACATTTGCGGTTAGCTGTAGGTGAAAAGTAAAGTGTTCTTCATTCAATCTAAAAAATGGGTGAATTCATTTTAGGATAACCTATTTAAAAGATTGATAAGGTAGATAACTGATTAAAAGTGACTTAGTTGGGATCGCGAAAATTACATTTGCTCAAAAGTGACTAATATGAGGTCTATAATTGGCCACAGAATAGACTATAATGGGGTAGGGGCTCTGAGAGACCAGCTGCAGATACCCAACAAAAATTAACCCAAGTTACCCCCCGCCTCCCTCACCCTGGGAGTAGGTGGTAAGTGAGAAAGTACTTTTGTACTCTTTATTATCAATACACGAATGTGCCATTATATTTTTAGGCGCTTTGTGGATCACAAAGTTCCCACGTATCTTGTATCTGTACCTGTACCTTAAACTTGAACTAAACCTGCGCCAAACCCTTAACAAAACTTCCACCAAAACCTACAGCAACTTGAACCTGCACCAAAAACGGAACCAACATCTGCACCAAGCTCTGCACCAAAACCTGCACCAAAAACTGAACCAAAATCTGCACCAAATTCTGTATCAAAACCTGCACTAACAAGTCAGCACCAAATTCTGCAACGAAACCTGCACTAAAACCTTGTGGTAAACCCTTCACCAAAACCTACACTGAAAAATGCTCTAAAATCTACAGCAAATTCTGCACCAAAACCTACACCAAAACCTGTACTAAAACCTGCACCAAAACATGCACCAAAATGAAGTCTGCACGTACCGAAATCTCCACTGAAACCTGCACCAAAATCTGCACCAAAGTCCGCACTTAAACCTGAGGCGCGTTCCTCGAAAGTGCCGGTAACTTTTTCAGGCCCGAAAACAAACTTTTTATCAAAACCTGCTGAATAGTAGCACAGCTCCTAGCTCACATACCGGTTAATTTGCTAATTCGTAAACTGATTTTTTCTTTGTATCATTTTCAAAATTATTCAAACTTTGATCTTGAATGCAACTACGGCAAACACAAAACAGCTTTTCGGGCCCGAAAAGTTACCAGGACTTTCTAGAAACAGACCCCTGGACTTCCCTGTCGATAACATACAATTATCTAGCACAGAATAGTGTAAGACCTTAATAGCCCCTGCAATGAGTAATAACAAGAGCCATAATAGAACTCTTGGTTGTAACTATTGTGGACAAACCTGGGTGTATTCACTAGAACCGTGGCAGTGTCCTAGCAATGTAGCTAGCAATTGTCCAAATTGCTCAAGATCGTTACCATGACTACCATGTTCTTCAACCGTCCTGTTTGTATATGCCCCAGGTTCATTAGCTTTAGATACTTGAGAAAAACCTCCCAACACAGCTCTTATTGGAGGAAGCTACAAAAAATTAGCGCTAAATAAGGTTACATGATACTTTTTAAGTTAACGCATGCGCAAGCTCTCATGGATCGCCCAGTCTGGAGATCTTCTTCTTATTAACTCAAAACGTTTGAGACAGCAGCGAGAGGTCGTAGGTGGAAAGGAAGCGGAGAAGAGAAATAAATCATTTCCTTCTTCTTCGCATTGTAGGTTAACATTTCCCATTCTGAATACAACTCATTTGTCGCGTCGTTTTGATAAATTTACAAGCATGGAAATAAAACTGAAAACAACCATAGCAAAATTCAGTTTCATGAAGAGTAAGGGAACCAAGTCTATCGAAAATCGAAAAAACAAAAAACAAAAACAAAATAAAAAAACCCGGAGGAATCTTTGAGGCAAGCTATATGAGAATAAACGATCGTGTCAAGTCCCTTTTGTCTTTTCACCTCACAGTGGTTGAATTCCGTGTTTTACTCGGCTCCTCTAGTAGGAAATATACGGGAAGTTTTACTACAGACGGCACATTGGTTTACTTACTCTCGTACAAGGAACAATCAATATGTTTCTTGTGGAGATGTTGTTATGAAGTATCCCAAGATCCTCCAGTCGCTCAATCGCGCTGATCACGTCAGTCGCTACCGTGCAGACGCCGTCAAAATTGAGAACTGTACCTTTATCGCAAAGAAAATCTTCCAACGTGGAACTGGACACAAACTCGTAGCAAATAAGTCTTAAAAAAGTAATAAGAAGCAATATATCAAGCATGAGACGCAGTGTTTCATCACCAAATGGAACACCGAGAAGAGAGTTGAAAATAAGACGCGCAGCGGAGTATTTTTGACGAATTTCGAGGTATTTCATCTGGTGATGAAAAACTGTGTGAAATATTTGATATTACTTCTCAAACAAAGTGATTTTCGAAGGAGAAATTAAGGATGCAAAAATGAGCTGTTTTTCATCGTATTTCCAAACACTCATTAAACATTAATTTCCTTTGTATTTTCTTTATGAATTATTAATGAGTTTGGGAATAAATAATCAACAATGAGTAACCACCTTCACAACTTGGCGTTAGTTTACTTCGCTCCCTTTCTCGACTAACTGATTACGCCTTCAGCTCGGTATTTCTTTCAGTTTAATGACCTTGATGGAACCCTTTATCTATATTTTTCGTTTTCCTTCCCTTCTTTTCCGTTAGGATCAAACAGCTGTTAATTCTTGAAGTCCTTGAATTGTTAAGACCGTATCCAAGCTCAAGAAGTGAAAGACTAATTGGATATCTTGCGTCTAAGTCCGCAAAATATTATACCAGAAAATGTCCTAGTCGAAGTGACAGCAAAGAAATGAAACAAAAATAGACCTCGTTAGTTAGCTTGTTGTTCTGTTTGCCCAATGAAGGTCTCGGGGTAATTTTTTCATTTCTTTTGTCATAAATTATGCGTACGTATCCGCGGGAATAATACTAAATTTAAAAGAAACAGTTCTCAAGAGTATTATCACATGACCTACTTTGGGAAAACAAACCATCAAGCTAAAGAGACGAGAAGGGAACTGGACCGAGTAAACTTTCGCAAAGACTTCTGGGACTGAATAAATGAATAAATAAATAAATGAAAATCATATATGAGAACTGCGGGAGAAAGAAATATTTGAAAGAAGATCATCGCAGTTATAGACGCAACTTTTGCGGTTGCAAAAAGAAATCCCGTACCAGCTTGAATTTTTTTCACGCTTTCTTTACGCAACTGCAAAAGTTGCGTCTATAACTTCGATGATCTTCTTTCATGGCTTATTACCTCAATTGCTAAGAACGCTGCACCGGTATCGCGGAGGTCAAAGGTTCGAATCCCTTACAAGCCTGAATTTTTTTCAGGCTTTCTTTTGACAACTGCAAACGATGCGTCTATAAGTGCGATGATCTTCTTTCAAATACTGTAAAATTCCGAAAATAAGCCCCTCCATGTATAAGCCTCTTGGGGCTTGTACTTGGAAAATTGCCCTCAAATACAAAGTAAAACAAAGCAAAAACGGTAAATTTATTTCTAACTAAAAGACTAGCCCAATCGAGTTTGAAACGCAAATTTCCCTCCGTAGAGAAGCCTCTCCGAATAATAGGTCCTCCTAAAATAAGCCCCTCAAAAAGGGCCTTTGAAAAATATAAGCCCCGGAGCTTATTTTCGGAATTTTACAGTAATACTTCTGGGACTGTTAGTATGGTCAGGGGAAAACCATTTCCGATTTTCAAAACGAGGCTAAGTACAAAAACGTTCTTGTGAAAATGAGTTTTATTTGCATAAGCCTTGCAATTAGCCTCGCCTTAAAGCAGAGGCTTTGGGCAACCCGGGAATGGCCTTTTGGCAGGAGCCCATCCTGCTTTTGGCCATTAGACCTGCAGACAAAATAATTCAAATACAACATAACAGGATTAAGAACCCCAACTGGCAGGAAGCACCCAGTTGGCTATTTATAAGCGTGGCCGAGGATTTCAACACGGGACGACCGAGAACAAATCCAGCAAGTGGCCAGAGCGTGACTCTAACCCGGGACCGTGGGATTGCGAGTCCGACGCGCTGACCACTCGGCCACGCTGCAGTCATAGTCAATAACAGGAAAACTGTTGAAGGTACAGTGAAAGAGAATGAAAATGAAACTTACAGACTTCTGGGGCATAATGCATTTATCTTCCTTTTACCATGCTCAATGCTTTGATCACGAGCTGACAACAAGAAAAATAAACTATTAATAAATTAAGTGAAGCAACAGCAAATTGCAAACCACGTGACTGCAAGGGACAACTACAACCCAGTTTGATTTTTAATTGTGTAAATGCGCACAATTCGTTGTATTATTTTTGAATAACTTTTTTTTGCTTGCGACATTTATACAAATTAGTTAAAACGAAGGGATCCTTTTTATGGCAAAATACCTTTATAGTTATTATTAAACAGGAGATGTAATACACGGTTTCAAAGATTTCTTGTTACCCTATCCCGTAAATTGGTATATTAAAGTTCATACTTACCTCCAGGCGAGGCTTAGAGGTAATATAATGAACGAACTGTATCATGCATTCCCGGACCTCGAGAAAATTTTGGTCTTTGTTTATGCATCAGTCAATCGAAAAAAAATCCTCTGGCACCCGTGAAGTAATATTTTTAATGAATTTGAAGGAACGCAGTGGAGAGTTTCTATTAAACTTGTTGGTCTGAATTGAAATAAATACAGAATTGAGTCGATCTAGATCTTGAGTCGTCTGATGTGCGTACGATGTGATGGAATTGGAAAGTAGAAGTAACATTTCCCTGCAGTTGCTTGGTATATAGTTAAAAGTATATGCTTGACTTTTTTAGAATCGAGTTTTGCTGTGACCGGTTCTGAACTGCTATAGGCTCGATTACCAGCCGTTTTTCGGGAAAAGAGCCCATTCTCTGAGAGGAACAAGACCCTACCGAAGAGAGTGGTTCATCGAGCCTATGATTAATCTACTAATGCCCCGCTATGCGTGGCTTTTAACTAACCTCTCGCCCCGAAGAGCGGGGAAATCAATTTTAGATTCCCCACTAAGTCCTGGGGGTCGGGGGGCCGGAGTTTCTCGGACTATTCGCAACGCAAGAAACGTCATATTCGAAAGTATAATTAAATGCGAGCGATGGCAGATAAGCAGAAAACTACATCTTCTTTTCAGTTTTCTCACCTTTGGAGTGCCAACGGTATCGAAGTAGACTGGCATGCGGTTGATCGCAAAAAGACAGGCTCTTAGCAATATCAACCTCGCGAGGCCAGTCTTCTTTAGATTCTTTAGCAAAGTACTTCAACAACACCATACTTAACGTACTTTCCTCTTCACACCAGGCGAGAGCAAAGCCCTGAAATTACAGAAGACGTTGGAAGCAAGACTACGGTATCGTTTCTTTAATTTTATGAGAAACTTAAGCAATCATGGCGGCCACAGCCAGGGTATAATATGGGCAAATTTTTCTGGAGTTGAGTTCCATTCTGAATTTCAATCAGTTATCAATTACTAGTCTCCTACAGGCTTACGATTATCTTTCGGCGAAATTATTAATTTATAGAATCTTTTCACATGATCGCCGTATTGGTGTTCGAAAATAATAAAACGGCGGCCATGTTGGTGTTCGAAACCAATCCTCTGGGAGTTGAACCTTTTGTTTATGTAAAAAGTAAAGCTTTCTTTTGTTCCAATTAATTTGCATAGCCGCTGACCACGTGAGTGAAAACCCTCTTTACATGTATCCTCATTAAAATTGGAGGTTCAAACCATGAAGAAGAAGAGACGATGAAGAGATGATGAAGAAGAGAACTGAGATGTGAATGGCTGTTCGGACGAATGGACGGATGTAAGTAGATACGGGTTGAAGGCCAAAACACCAAAACATTTGAACATAGTAATTTTTATTATCAGTGAAGCTCCATTATTTAGTGGGCTATGGGGCCATAAACTTGTTACGTGCCATCCTGGTGAACAAATTAACTCGGGTATCAGGGAAATTTGGACAAGACTATGCGTTATCCGCAGAAACATTCTTCTCTACAAACTTACTGTTGAGCTTTTTCCCTCGGTGTCGTCTTGCAGGATATCAACTTCTTCAATCAGCCTCAATTTTGCGTGTACTTGCTTACAGTTTCGTTCCAAGACTTCGCCTGCCCTTGGTAACGAAAGGGGACTGGAACCATTGACGACATTGGAAACTAGAGAGAGGTCATCATATGTTTTCAACCAATCAGTTGTCTGTTTCCTACCTAAGAACAAAACTGTACGAAAAACCTTTCACAATATGAACATGTATTGCCGGAACTGCTCTGGTAACAAGGCTAAACCCTTAAGCATAGTTGGATATTACTAACACAAACATTTGTATGTGCAATTGATTCGTCCAAAATTATCATGAACGCACTTCCTATCTATTTCACCGTTCTCTGCGGTATAAATCGCCGGGAAAGGTTTTTCTTACATAGGAGTCATTGCATCGGTGCCGCTACACACCCATTGCCCCTTAGTACCAGACTCGTAGCTCGAAGCCAGTGGCTGTTTACGTGTTTTGTTTGTTTGTTTTTTTGGGGGGGGGGGGTGGGGTGAGAGAAGGTTGGCGTTAGGTTGAGGCACACGGGGTCCCACGAGTCTCCGCGCACCTCAACGTAACCCCAATCTTCTCTCACCCCAAAACAAGTAAATAGCCAATGTGTACGAGTCTGACTTAGTACCTCTTAGAAACTTTGCACCAAAGAGACAGCACTTCAAAGTTTAAATTCATAAGCTAAACCGTGTTCCACATACCTTGTAAACGCCTGTTTTGAACTGATTTAAGAACCAAATTAATCACGTTTTTTCGCCGTCGGTTAAGGCTCCTCCTTGCCCTTTTGGTGGAAAATGTGTACAGGATTGGATTAAGAGAAGAGTTGAGTGGAAGCACAAACACGGCAATCCACACATAAGCAATCTTATTGGGATCATAAAAGTTCCCAGTTAGAGATAGAATATTGATAATAATAATTGGCATCCAACAACAGAAGTCGGTCATTATTATGAAGACTAGTCGCTTGGCCATGGCTGATTCCTTCTTCAGATTCGAGGATCGCACAGCACGGGAAACGCGTTTAACGGTCCAGAACATTGAGATGTATGCAATCAGGATGAAAATGAAAGATATAGAGTTTAAACCAACGAAGAAAACAACTGAGTATTCCCATCCAGCTGGTCTTGCTGCAGATAGCTGCAATGGAAGGCAAACGGCTGAGCGGCTATAGAAACCGAAGTTGCCGTTCTCGTCGATGAAGTAGTTTATACCGCTGATCGGAATCAGTGAGATAACGAAACCGAACACCCACACGCCGATGCAAATTAAAACGGCTGCCTTATAAGTGAGACGCTTGAATTTAAAAGGGAAGACGATGCAAACTAGTCTGTCAAGAGTAATGATGGTTAGAATTAGAACGGACACTTCGCTTGAAAGCATGGAAAGAGCTCCAGTGATTTGACAACCCAATCCAGATCTCCATTTGACATCATGCTTGAAATACTCTCCCCGCCATCTTAAGTCCATCACGGCTATTGTCAACATATATACACCCATAAAAAGATCTGCAAATGCCAGATTTGTCAACAAGAAGGAGTGTGTTCTGTTTTCCTCTTTATCAATTGCGCGCCATATGATCACAAGAAGGTTACCGACAAAGGCTAGAATACCAAGAATCCAGATACAAATCTGAAGCGTGTTGTTCTTCATGAGGTCATCGCAACTGGAAAATTCATCCACTGGGGAGTCGCAGTCCACTCCACTGATGGATTTTTTAGCGTAGCAGCAAAGGATAAAACGGTCCAGTTTCCTGTGTGAAAAATTAAATCAAGTCTTCCTCGGTATCTTGATGAACGCGTTCAACAAAAGGTATAAGCATTGGATAACTACATAAATTACTTACAAATATTTCATGTTACGTAGTTCACTAAACGCCTCAGGTGATACTTCTGTCAGTTTATTTTTGTCCAGGTAACTGCAAAGGAAAAATCGGAATTTTACAAAAAAGCCTGTTCAGAACGTACAATTCAACACAAAAACAGTATTAAAAATGCCGACATAAATGTTACGTGTCTACAGTGATAACGATCGCAAGATACTACTTTTGTTCAGTAACTGTGTTCAGATGATTTTACACCAATTTACTAAAATTAGAGACGCTCGTTTTTCGAAGACACTGGAATGCAAAGCCAAAGCGACTGTCAGAAATGTCTTTCGGCAATAAGTAAAACCTCTGCAATACTTACAGGTATTCTAACGATATTAATCCACGGAAGGTTTTCCTTGAGACTGTAGTCAGCTGGTTGTTGCTAAGATCCCTAGTAAGAAGTCAAATAAGTAAACAATGAAGTGATTACATAATTTGGAGGCAAGGTAGCCCTGCTTCCAGATCGATGTTTTTCATGTCAAGAACTTCGTTATGATGCAGGTGGTGCTTTCTTTGCAGTTAGAAAACGCTCAGTTTTAAGCATTGCACCTTTGATTAATAGATTCTGCAAAGCTATACCTATTAGGCAAAGCTATTTTCACCTCTTCACTTTTTTGTCGCGGGTAACATAGAGATTCTCTGGAAACAAAACCTACTGTTTCCTTAGGGAAGAGTCATCAAGAGCTCGACATAACACAGCCATACATTATATGCAAATTCATATACTCACAATAACTTAAGCTTAGAAAGGGACTCAAACAGGCCGTCAGGCAATGTTGTTATCTTGTTTTCTTGAAGATACCTAGTTGAACGAAAGAAATGTCAATAATCAAGTAGCCATTAAAGGAACGCGATACCACCAAGGAACCGTAGGTTAGAAAACTGTAATAGGTTATTGCGCTTTCCTCTTTAAATAAAGTTATTGTATTGTATTTGTATTGTGAACCCGATTTACGGACTAAGCTCCTCGTAAACTGTATGCCTCATCCCGCAGCACGTACTGATATAGCTTAAATATTGGGAGCTGTACCCAGGAGTTGAAAATCAATATTTGTTAATATACTTACAAATGTGTCAAGTTACTCTTGTTGGTAAATACACCATATTCCATCATCTCTATTTGGTTCGAACGCAAGCTTCTACAATACAAACAAAGTTGGTAGAATCAAGCCTATGATAAAGAAATGATCATTACTCAATTATCTTTGTACTTACAGAATCTCTAAGCTTGACAGGCCATAAAATGTTTCTTTCATTGTTTTGCGAAGGAGGTTCCTTCCTAAGTCACTACAAAAAAGGGATAAAAATATTATTTGAGACGGATGTGATTATCATACTCATGCCAGAAAAAACACCGTCATCAGCCCTTTATAGTATTCGACAAGGTAAAGCAAACTGAGCGCGATCTTAGAGTAGTAGTAATAGACTTTTAGATATCCTGTCATCCTGTCCTATTTTGTTCTTCAACCAGTGTTGACCGGTTTTTTTCAATACCGTTGTTGTACACGTCACTGATCTGTAACGGCAGCAAGGTAAGAACAAACGAAAGATGAGACTGCCAAAACTCGTTCTATACTTACAGAACACGTATACTAGGAATTCTAGCGAATCCTTTGGCAGGAAGAGATCGTAAAAAGTTGGAATTCAGTCTTCTGAAAAAAATAATGTAATGACATTATGAGAGATATGTTTAGCTTATGCCCAGCTCCACAGAGTGTTTTAATTTCGACACCGCAACGTGTTAGTGTACGACATGATACATGATCAAATCATAAATTCGTTAAGCCCAATACAAATAATTATCCTGTCGCTTAAGAAGAATAGACTTTTTTAGCTTGTACCCCAGAGAACTGTTTTTTTTTTCAAATGTCGTCTTATACACGTGCATCCACGTGCCTATGTATGCATAATTAATGACAAGACAAGAGGCAAATTCCCTGGAGAACATCACGTGGTCTGAATTGGGAAAACAAATCATACATTCTTCACGTGACTCAGTTCGTAAGGCCAGGGAGTCGCATTTGATAGATAAAGCCATGACTCTTGAGCCTCATGGCCTAAACCGCCGTGACGAATTATCGTAATTCATATCCTTAGTACTTTTCCTTTCCAGTTTTTGTGTTGTACGTCATTTCCGCCTCTCCCTTTCAAACAATTTTTATTGCGACATTCTCCATCTATATGATATTGTGATTCCTACGGAAGTTCAGTAACATCTGTAAACCTGAAGAAGGCTGGTATGGCCAGGCGAAATATTGTTATGTTTAAAAAACAATACACGTTGTTCTGAATCAGTTTTGCAGTAGTCTTTGGACTTCTCGTTCAAGGTAAAAAGGTGTATTCTATAGATCGCAGTACTTTACTTGTTTTGCACATGTTTTTTTTTCGCGTAAGAAACTCTAAACTCTTCAAATGACCCATTGACGTCAGGCTAATGTTGTTCCTGTTCACCTAAATATGGTATAACGGGTATTTTAACTCTTTAACGATTTTGTCCATCCAGGCTAGTTATAAATTATGACCAGTTCCAATCTTGGACAAAACTGTTGAGAAAATTGCCTTCTTGGGGGTCATTTTTTCTAAACTTCGTAGCCGACCCATTCTTCCCTCCCCCTCTCCCCCTGGAAGCAGTGTTGTTGGGTCTTCAAAAGAAAGCCGGATCCCTAAGCATTTGTAGGAAGCAACTTTGAACTGGGGGAGGGGGTTTTCTTTACGCAAAGCCGTTGATTTAGAAGTAGTTTTGTTGCGTTAGGTAGTGCACATTAATGAAAACATTTTCTCAAGTAGTTTTGTCCAGGATTGTATTTGACTGGAAAAGTCGATTTTGAGCATTTAATGCGGGCACATAAATCTGTTCTTTATTTTTTCGTACATTTCACAGAAAAGTAGATAATTAATGGAAAATAAGTGATAACAGAGGAGGCGATGACAAGAAAATCAACTTGGATGTCTTTCTTGATTCAAGTAACCAATCGTGAACGTCTGTGAATTTCATTTTCCACGCAGGGTTTTTACGCGCGCTTTGAGTGCAGCGGAGCAGGCATACATTACGGTTTTGGCGGACGAGAAGGACGTCTCCGTCAAGGAGATTAGCCAGAAAACGGGAATTTCACCTGCTACGATTCGACCAACAAATAACACATGAAACTTTTGCTGACATTTCAGAGCGCGTGACCCATACTTTGAACAATTTTCCCATCGGCGAAATAGATAAAACAATCAAAGTCAGTGAACAAGCGCTTGCCATTAAATAACAGCATCAAATGGAGAGAGGATGAAATATTAACAAAACTTGTATTTTTACTTTCCAAATTTGAAAGCTTACTTTTGACACTGTAGCGATGTGCAGTGCAAAAAATCGCACTATGAAATCTAGAAATGTCACGCGCGGTAACGTGACAAGATGTACTATCGTGTGACCTGTAAGAGTGCATGTTTTGCCCTCGGGCTATTTATAGCTTACATATGACTGGAAGAAATTATGAGATAAATTCATCATTTGTAAAGCAAGAGATAGTAAAAATTGCCATAGTTGTCTTCTAATCTCTTTCTCTCCACAATATCTAAGATTCGGAACGATTAACAGGACATTTTTAGGGTGCTACCAAGATTCGCAACGGTTAACAACGATTAACAAGGACGTTTGAAAAGAATCAGAAGGTCATTTACTTTTAAAAACGAAATGGTGTTAACCGTTTCAATGCTTTGTTAATCGTAACATTATTCTATCCATGGAATTATTATAAAAAGTTAACCGATTTGTAGCAAACGAGGTTTCTGTAACCTTCATAGTTTAGCGAATTTTAGGATCTGAGAAGCAGTTTCCACGTGACGGGATACGTTTCCATATTGGCTTCACTATACGTCACTAAATAAACACTACGAACTTCTTTTCTTCTAAGAAAACCGTCATCCAAGTCTTTTCCTGACTCTTCTGAAAACTATAAATCACTTTCCACACTTTCCAAGCCTGCCAGGTTTGAACAACACGAAAACATGTAACAATGAGCACGCGTTCTACGGCTATCGCAAAATCTTACTGTTTTAAGAGGGTACAGCCAAAAAAACGTGTATGAGGTGGTACTTTTCTATGAGAAGATGGTGTGCCGTGAAACTTTGTGCTTAAAGGAGCTTCTGTAAAGTGCTTTTTATTGGTAGGTTTCCGTTTTGTCCGTGTTAATATTCTTGCTAAAAAACGCGAATCACCTTATATACAATCTTGGACAAAACTGTTGAGAAAATTGCCTTCTTGGGGGTCATTTTTTCTAAACTTCGTAGCCGACCCATTCTTCCCTCCCCCTCTCCCCTGGAAGCAGTGTTGTTGGGTCTTCAAAAAGAAAGCCGGATCCCTAAGCATTTGTAGGAAGCAACTTTGAACTGGGGAGGGGTTTTTTTACGCAAAGCCGTTGATTTAGAAGTAGTTTTGTTGCGTTAGGTAGTGCACATTAATGAAAACATTTTCTCAAGTAGTTTTGTCCAGGATTGTATTTGACTGGAAAAGTCGATTTTGAGCATTTAATGCGGGCACATAAATCTGTTCTTTATTTTTTTCGTACATTTCACAGAAAAGTAGATAATTAATGGAAAATAAGTGATAACAGAGGAGGCGATGACAAGAAAATCAACTTGGATGTCTTTCTTGATTCAAGTAACCAATCGTGAACGTCTGTGAATTTCATTTTCCACGCAGGGTTTTTACGCGCGCTTTGAGTGCAGCGGAGCAGGCATACATTACGGTTTTGGCGGACGAGAAGGACGTCTCCGTCAAGGAGATTAGCCAGAAAACGGGAATTTCACCTGCTACGATTCGACCAACAAATAACACATGAAACTTTTGCTGACATTTCAGAGCGCGTGACCCATACTTTGAACAATTTTCCCATCGGCGAAATAGATAAAACAATCAAAGTCAGTGAACAAGCGCTTGCCATTAAATAACAGCATCAAATGGAGAGAGGATGAAATATTAACAAAACTTGTATTTTTACTTTCCAAATTTGAAAGCTTACTTTTGACACTGTAGCGATGTGCAGTGCAAAAAATCGCACTATGAAATCTAGAAATGTCACGCGCGGTAACGTGACAAGATGTACTATCGTGTGACCTGTAAGAGTGCATGTTTTGCCCTCGGGCTATTTATAGCTTACATATGACTGGAAGAAATTATGAGATAAATTCATCATTTGTAAAGCAAGAGATAGTAAAAATTGCCATAGTTGTCTTCTAATCTCTTTCTCTCCACAATATCTAAGATTCGGAACGATTAACAGGACATTTTTAGGGTGCTACCAAGATTCGCAACGGTTAACAACGATTAACAAGGACGTTTGAAAAGAATCAGAAGGTCATTTACTTTTAAAAACGAAATGGTGTTAACCGTTTCAATGCTTTGTTAATCGTAACATTATTCTATCCATGGAATTATTATAAAAAGTTAACCGATTTGTAGCAAACGAGGTTTCTGTAACCTTCATAGTTTAGCGAATTTTAGGATCTGAGAAGCAGTTTCCACGTGACGGGATACGTTTCCATATTGGCTTCACTATACGTCACTAAATAAACACTACGAACTTCTTTTCTTCTAAGAAAACCGTCATCCAAGTCTTTTCCTGACTCTTCTGAAAACTATAAATCACTTTCCACACTTTCCAAGCCTGCCAGGTTTGAACAACACGAAAACATGTAACAATGAGCACGCGTTCTACGGCTATCGCAAAATCTTACTGTTTTAAGAGGGTACAGCCAAAAACGTGTATGAGGTGGTACTTTTCTATGAGAAGATGGTGTGCCGTGAAACTTTGTGCTTAAAGGAGCTTCTGTAAAGTGCTTTTTATTGGTAGGTTTCCGTTTTGTCCGTGTTAATATTCTTGCTAAAAAACGCGAATCACCTTATATACAATCTTGGACAAAACTGTTGAGAAAATTGCCTTCTTGGGGGTCATTTTTTCTAAACTTCGTAGCCGACCCATTCTTCCCTCCCCCTCTCCCCCTGGAAGCAGTGTTGTTGGGTCTTCAAAAGAAAGCCGGATCCCTAAGCATTTGTAGGAAGCAACTTTGAACTGGGGGAGGGGGTTTTCTTTACGCAAAGCCGTTGATTTAGAAGTAGTTTTGTTGCGTTAGGTAGTGCACATTAATGAAAACATTTTCTCAAGTAGTTTTGTCCAGGATTGTATTTGACTGGAAAAGTCGATTTTGAGCATTTAATGCGGGCACATAAATCTGTTCTTTATTTTTTTCGTACATTTCACAGAAAAGTAGATAATTAATGGAAAATAAGTGATAACAGAGGAGGCGATGACAAGAAAATCAACTTGGATGTCTTTCTTGATTCAAGTAACCAATCGTGAACGTCTGTGAATTTCATTTTCCACGCAGGGTTTTTACGCGCGCTTTGAGTGCAGCGGAGCAGGCATACATTACGGTTTTGGCGGACGAGAAGGACGTCTCCGTCAAGGAGATTAGCCAGAAAACGGGAATTTCACCTGCTACGATTCGACCAACAAATAACACATGAAACTTTTGCTGACATTTCAGAGCGCGTGACCCATACTTTGAACAATTTTCCCATCGGCGAAATAGATAAAACAATCAAAGTCAGTGAACAAGCGCTTGCCATTAAATAACAGCATCAAATGGAGAGAGGATGAAATATTAACAAAACTTGTATTTTTACTTTCCAAATTTGAAAGCTTACTTTTGACACTGTAGCGATGTGCAGCAAAAAATCGCACTATGAAATCTAGAAATGTCACGCGCGGTAACGTGACAAGATGTACTATCGTGTGACCTGTAAGAGTGCATGTTTTGCCCTCGGGCTATTTATAGCTTACATATGACTGGAAGAAATTATGAGATAAATTCATCATTTGTAAAGCAAGAGATAGTAAAAATTGCCATAGTTGTCTTCTAATCTCTTTCTCTCCACAATATCTAAGATTCGGAACGATTAACAGGACATTTTTAGGGTGCTACCAAGATTCGCAACGGTTAACAACGATTAACAAGGACGTTTGAAAAGAATCAGAAGGTCATTTTTTTTAAAAACGAAATGGTGTTAACCGTTTCAATGCTTTGTTAATCGTAACATTATTCTATCCATGGAATTATTATAAAAAGTTAACCGATTTGTAGCAAACGAGGTTTCTGTAACCTTCATAGTTTAGCGAATTTTAGGATCTGAGAAGCAGTTTCCACGTGACGGGATACGTTTCCATATTGGCTTCACTATACGTCACTAAATAAACACTACGAACTTCTTTTCTTCTAAGAAAACCGTCATCCAAGTCTTTTCCTGACTCTTCTGAAAACTATAAATCACTTTCCACACTTTCCAAGCCTGCCAGGTTTGAACAACACGAAAACATGTAACAATGAGCACGCGTTCTACGGCTATCGCAAAATCTTACTGTTTTAAGAGGGTACAGCCAAAAACGTGTATGAGGTGGTACTTTTCTATGAGAAGATGGTGTGCCGTGAAACTTTGTGCTTAAAGGAGCTTCTGTAAAGTGCTTTTTATTGGTAGGTTTCCGTTTTGTCCGTGTTAATATTCTTGCTAAAAAACGCGAATCACCTTATCACCTTGACTGGAAAAGTCGATTTTGAGCATTTAATGCGGGCACATAAATCTGTTCTTTATTTTTTTCGTACATTTCACAGAAAAGTAGATAATTAATGGAAAATAAGTGACAACAGAGGAGGCGATGACAAGAAAATCAACTTGGATGTCTTTCTTGATTCAAGTAACCAATCGTGAACGTCTGTGAATTTCATTTTCCACGCAGGGTTTTTACGCGCGCTTTGAGTGCAGCGGAGCAGGCATACATTACGGTTTTGGCGGACGAGAAGGACGTCTCCGTCAAGGAGATTAGCCAGAAAACGGGAATTTCACCTGCTACGATTCGACCAACAAATAACACATGAAACTTTTGCTGACATTTCAGAGCGCGTGACCCATACTTTGAACAATTTTCCCATCGGCGAAATAGATAAAACAATCAAAGTCAGTGAACAAGCGCTTGCCATTAAATAACAGCATCAAATGGAGAGAGGATGAAATATTAACAAAACTTGTATTTTTACTTTCCAAATTTGAAAGCTTACTTTTGACACTGTAGCGATGTGCAGTGCAAAAAATCGCACTATGAAATCTAGAAATGTCACGCGCGGTAACGTGACAAGATGTACTATCGTGTGACCTGTAAGAGTGCATGTTTTGCCCTCGGGCTATTTATAGCTTACATATGACTGGAAGAAATTATGAGATAAATTCATCATTTGTAAAGCAAGAGATAGTAAAATTGCCATAGTTGTCTTCTAATCTCTTTCTCTCCACAATATCTAAGATTCGGAACGATTAACAGGACATTTTTAGGGTGCTACCAAGATTCGCAACGGTTAACAACGATTAACAAGGACGTTTGAAAAGAATCAGAAGGTCATTTACTTTTAAAAACGAAATGGTGTTAACCGTTTCAATGCTTTGTTAATCGTAACATTATTCTATCCATGGAATTATTATAAAAAGTTAACCGATTTGTAGCAAACGAGGTTTCTGTAACCTTCATAGTTTAGCGAATTTTAGGATCTGAGAAGCAGTTTCCACGTGACGGGATACGTTTCCATATTGGCTTCACTATACGTCACTAAATAAACACTACGAACTTCTTTTCTTCTAAGAAAACCGTCATCCAAGTCTTTTCCTGACTCTTCTGAAAACTATAAATCACTTTCCACACTTTCCAAGCCTGCCAGGTTTGAACAACACGAAAACATGTAACAATGAGCACGCGTTCTACGGCTATCGCAAAATCTTACTGTTTTAAGAGGGTACAGCCAAAAACGTGTATGAGGTGGTACTTTTCTATGAGAAGATGGTGTGCCGTGAAACTTTGTGCTTAAAGGAGCTTCTGTAAAGTGCTTTTTATTGGTAGGTTTCCGTTTTGTCCGTGTTAATATTCTTGCTAAAAAACGCGAATCACCTTATATACAATCTTGGACAAAACTGTTGAGAAAATTGCCTTCTTGGGGGTCATTTTTTCTAAACTTCGTAGCCGACCCATTCTTCCCTCCCCCTCTCCCCCTGGAAGCAGTGTTGTTGGGTCTTCAAAAGAAAGCCGGATCCCTAAGCATTTGTAGGAAGCAACTTTGAACTGGGGGAGGGGGTTTTCTTTACGCAAAGCCGTTGATTTAGAAGTAGTTTTGTTGCGTTAGGTAGTGCACATTAATGAAAACATTTTCTCAAATAGTTTTGTCCAGGATTGCCGCAACGTGTTAGTGTACGACATGATACATGATCAAATCATAAATTCGTTAAGCCCAATACAAATAATTATCCTGTCGCTTAAGAAGAATAGACTTTTTTAGCTTGTACCCCAGAGAACTGTTTTTTTTTTTCAAATGTCGTCTTATACACGTGCATCCACGTGCCTATGTATGCATAATTAATGACAAGACAAGAGGCAAATTCCCTGGAGAACATCACGTGGTCTGAATTGGGAAAACAAATCATACATTCTTCACGTGACTCAGTTCGTAAGGCCAGGGAGTCGCATTTGATAGATAAAGCCATGACTCTTGAACCTCATGGCCTAAACCGCCGTGACGAATTATCGTAATTCATATCCTTAGTACTTTTCCTTTCCAGTTTTTGTGTTGTACGTCATTTCCGCCTCTCCCTTTCAAACAATTTTTATTGCGACATTCTCCATCTATATGATATTGTGATTCCTACGGAAGTTCAGTAACATCTGTAAACCTGAAGAAGGCTGGTATGGCCAGGCGAAATATTGTTATGTTTAAAAAACAATACACGTTGTTCTGAATCAGTTTTGCAGTAGTCTTTGAACTTCTCGTTCAAGGTAAAAAGGTGTATTCTATAGATCGCAGTACTTTACTTGTTTTGCACATGTTTTTTTTTCACGTAAGAAACTCTAAACTCTTCAAATGACCCATTGACGTCAGGCTAATGTTGTTCCTGTTCACCTAAATATGGTATAACGGGTATTTTAACTCTTTAACGATTTTGTCCATCCAGGCTAGTTATAAATTATGACCAGTTTTTGCAAGAGAGAAAATGCACATTCGAAATTCAATACTTACAGTGTTTTGATTGAGGTGACGTTTTGGAACGAGTCCCCATCAAGGCGAAGAAGAATGTTGTAGCTCAGGTCGCTTAAACCGAGGTTAGAAAAAGTACAGTTATACTAACGTTTGGTTTCTAAAAGCACGCACATATCATTGCAAACTAAAACAGATACATTTTAAAAGATACTTTTCATACTTACATGTATTCTAGATGATGGAGATTTGTAAAATCTTTTTCTGTTAGTTGAGATATTCGGTTCTTCTGGAAAAATCTGCAGCGCAAATGTCAAGATTAATATTCGGGGATGATATACGGCATTGCTAGGAAAGGAAGGAAGCTGTTCATCCTTTTTCAATGATACGTGCTTAAATAAATTGGAAGGTAGAAAATACGTGCAAAAGAAACATTTTACTATGTTTTGGCGTTCTTCAATGAGAGAATGCGCACCAATCTCGCCTTCCCTGCATATTTTAAGGCAGCGCAAAGCAAGACATTTGTTGAATCGCTTTCTTTTCCACTCTTGCTATTTGGGAGGATTCAGTTTTTTCACGAGTAACTGAAACTTGTAACACTGACTGGCGCAACCTTCAAAAAGGCTATCGTCCGTTTAAAGCACCTCCCTAGTTTTTATAAGCACTATTTTGGGCAAACGTTTGTTTGTTTTTGTGTAACGAAAGTAAAGCTCTGTTTTTAATGGTACTAAAATAGAGCAACAAAAGCCAAGTACATTTGAGGAAAAGACATGACAAGACGAGCGACAGTGAGATTAAAATTATCATTTAAGTCATAGGTTTCCATTTAGCCGTTACTTAAATACTCGATATCGGACACTGTCCTTTACAGTCGTGGCAATTCTCAATTGTTGTAAACTTACACTGCTCCAGTGTTGGAGGGAAGATCAGTCGGCACAGTCAGCAAATCTTCTCCTGTCACCATTATTCGCTTGCCTGTACTTTGACCTTCACCAAATTCGTCACATTTGCAACTCGATGGGCACCCTGAAAACACGAACAACCACGAATTCTCAAACTTATAAATACGGGCACCTGAGAATCACTGATCCGGAAGTGGAACAATTTTTTGGACAATGAAATAGGAAGGAAATAGAAATTGCTTGATTACGTTAATACTCAGTGGTCGGGCTGAGTCGGGCTGAGTCGGGCTGAGTCGGGCTAGTTGGCTCTTATTCCCTAGGTGGGTCTATTGTTTCTATTGGCTTGGTAAAACAAGGATATAAGACATGAGACTATGACGTCGACCAACTTAAACTTGTCAAACAAGCTAAACCACTTCAAAATAGCACACGACCGTATCGCAATGAGATTCCCCCGCATTACTTGCATGAGTTAGAGACAAAAGGCTATGACGTCATCGGCGTTAATGTATTTCCCCGCAAGAAATGATGCTGGTGAGCCCTATACTACTAATACACGCACGTTGATACGATTCCTGTGCAAAAGAGGACAATACCACTAATGTCACCTTTTAAAGTAATTTAAGACTTCAGGTTTGTGTTTTATTACAATATCAACTCTGTCAGAGTCGATATGCGATGAAATACTGTTTCGCAGTGAAATATTGATTTTACAAACATAAGAGGTATAGCGACGCCTGCCTTAAAATTACAGTGGAAGTTATTTTTTTCGAAGAATATGAATGACAGTTTATAATTAATAGAATTAACACAGGAAATAAGGAAAGCGGGCTATTGCAAAATACGATAGCCCCTTTCTGGAGTAGCATTAAGTACAAGACAGTAGCATCGATCCCAACGACAGCCGAGTAATGATAATGATGATGAATTTACCTTGCTGACGTAAACGCGAAAGTCCATTATCGTCATAAGCTGAGACAAAAATCAAAGCAGGTAAGTCTTTATTAGAACTTCGACTCTACTGGACATCATTATTGTCATTTACTACTATGGACACTGACCATTCAAACGAACTTAAGAAGAAGAAAGAGTATTCTTAGTCTGTGTTGTTCCCCTTACATAGTGTTACCAGGTCAATCTGCGAAGACCACAAAAAAATCATTTGATTACTTTAGAAAGTCTCTTTTTATATTACACGGACACTTGCAGAGATTTATTAACGCTAAAGTCATAATTGTGACTGGCTTTTATATTCGCCGTATAATATCATAGCTAATTCAAACTTATATTTCATGAGAAATAAGTAACAAGTAGTGTCGCAAAATTTGTAGTTACCAAGCAATTAATCAAACTGAAACGTACCAACAACTGAGAAATAAAAGGCCTTGAATCTTGCTATGAAGGGTTTCCGTTGACACCGAAGAACAACAGAGAAGTGATTCGACGACGATGAAAGTATCGGAGGGTAGCTATAACCGCAGAACCTGCCTATAGAGGGTGCAGTGTCGTCACTTCCGTCAAAAATCTCAACAAAGCAGTCCTCACACGTGGGATGATCATTCAGACGAAATTCTTGAAAGGTCAAGCGAATTATGTTTTGTTCTGGAACAGTTATGTGCCAAGTGCAGTAGCTGTCATCAAAGTAAAATCCAGGAAAGAACGGGGAGAAGAAATTTCCTGAGGTATTGAATAGGGTTTCGCTGCAGGCTGCAATAGAAATGAAACTGATTTTTTAAAGTATTTAAAAATACTTTTACTCGTGACGAAACCCAGGCTGAGTTAAATGCCTCGCAAGGCCTTAGGTTATGGCAGAAGTTTCCTTGCTTGATTACACATCCTTTCAGTAGCCAGGGGTATGCGTTAGTTGTGTCGCCACTACTGCCTAAGATTACATGCTGGCCGCTGGCACAAGAGAACCTCATCCGACGTCTGGCAGGTCTTGCATTGCTCACCAAAACTGAGCTGTTGGTTGTGGTTGTGGCCGGAAGGGGCTGTTTTGGGTTAGCCTAAGTATCAGGCGTTTCTGGGGTAAAAGAGGAAAGATGGAAGCGAAAAAGGGAGAGAGCTGAAGTAGAGAAACGCCTGACACAGATGCTTTTACCTGAGCCTTCCACCCCCACACAGCATGATTCGATACCATCCAATCAAAAACACTTCCGGTCATTGGGTTGTGAGCTTCACGTGTCAAAAAGCTCGCCTAAAATAAATGTCACCTTACGGTCTGGCCGAGCTCCGGTGATTGTGTTGCTTCCTTTCTCTTCTCCCCCCTCCCCCCCCCCCCCCATCTAAAATCTCCTCTCCCCTATCCCCTTAGGAAGGCCTGATACTCAGGCTAGTTTTGGTGCTTTCCGTCAATGTGGCACTTTGTTCTAGCTAGGTTACAGTCTTACTATTTATAGTAGCAACAGAGACTTGCCCTAACCCCTCAGAGGGTTACCTTACCATGTTTATAAGGAAAAAGTTAAATGTACACCTGAAAATGCGGAAGCGACAGACGCACAGCGTACATATAAATATGTAAAAAGGATGTCGAATCGAATTAGCCTGAAACGCCAAAAACTATACGCCATTTGGAGTTTGTCCACCTTAACTTTGCTTCCGTGTTAAAACGGATGTCTCGTAGCGAAAGCTGTTAAGGTCTTCTCCTTGTTCAGAATGTCAGGCTAAGTGATACTTTTATCCCCCTGATTTATGCTGCTGTAGGGTTAAAAACTGTTTTATTTAACATGTGACGTATGACAGTATACCTTGTTTTGCTGACTGCGGTAGGTGTTGGCAATGAATCCCCGGGTCCTCCTCAACGTACAGTCCTGACAACGCCACCAAGGCTTCCTTCTTCTCAACTTTACCTTTTATGAAGACCTATTAATAAGATTGCTTTAGCACTGGTACCGCTTTCTCTCACCAAACACTATTACACAAGTTTGGTTATTAAACAGTGCACACTTATATCCACTGGTTACCTAACACCGCCACCCAATTTTGTTAAAGTTCAATTCTGTTTACTTCTGGCTGCCAATCAGAAGCGGGGAATTCAAATGTTTCTGAGACTGCTTTGGTTAGAGTAATTGCCCAGTGCCTCTTTTTTGTTTTGCAAATTTTTCCCCATGATGTATAAAAGCCACCGTCACTAGGTTAGTTAACTCAATTGAATAACCACAGATTTTCTTAGCAGGAGGCCACTGGTTCAAACCAATGCCCACACCCATTTTTTTAAGAGTGTAGGGTACTTAGTCCCTGTTGTGGTAGGGAGCCTTAATAAGTCATAACTTTATTAATCGTAAATTGCGCCACAAGCAATCTGGCAGAAGTCCCAAAATCAGCGTCCCTGAAAAGCTCATGAGAGATTTGGATAATAAGATATTTACAATTTAAGGTCAAAAGAAATTTACTGTAATAAACTACACCAACGATTTCGCTCGTTAGTGTCCAGTCTCAATAAGCTACTCTAGAGTCTGGCGGGTAGGACACCAATTTATGCGAAGTAGCAATGCGTAGTTGAGTATTTGGGGGTATCTCTCTTTATGTTTTACCTGAAACGCTGATACAGCGCTTAAAGGGACTTGGCCGTATACCCAGTTGTTACCAGTCCTAGTTTTCCAAATCCAGATAGGGACTTCTCGATAGTTACCAGTCTGTTGGTAAATTGTTAAACTCTTCCTTCCAGGCCCTCTCAGCATGTAACGAAATTTTAAGCACTTTGTATGCCAATCACGCGACCTGTTGTACTTCTGGCTCACAAGGATAGCTGTTTGGTTAAGGAGTGTAGTGTTGGTGTCTAACACAATTCGATCAGCTGTTGAACATGAGGAAAAACAATGGTAACACAGGTCCGGTAACGAATAGTAAGAGGCACCAGGGACCGATTACTATAGACACCTATTTTTATCATTAAGTGGCTCGTTTAACTTGAGTTGAGGTCAATTCAAACTAACCTGCTTCTCTCAAAATAGTTATGTACGAAATGGAACAAAAGCAGGAACCTACTGACAAAAGATACTAAACTTGTAATGAAGTTGTTTCTGCGCCTACCCCAAAATAGCTAACGTTGGCGGTTGTTTCAGCCTTGCAATCTTAAATAGAAAAGTCGTATCAAGGAGAATTGAGATAGGAGAACAAACTTAGCTGTTATCGGAAAGCACTCCTCTAACGTCAGCGGAGGCACACATCTAATGTGTCACCGAGTTCCACGTTCTTTGTTCAAAGCTTAGCCTCCCCGCAGACATCCTTTGGGGTTCGTTTGTAACGATGAATGCGTGACAAACGAACCCCAAAGGACGTCTGCGGGGAGACTATTCAAAGCTTAGATACGACACGCTTAAAAACTGCAGTAAGTGCGAACTTTCTTTTCCCTGATCGTACCGAATCTTGTTGCCTGTCCGGTGGTATTAAACTTGTGAGATAAAACTTACCTTTTCTATGTCTGCATGATCTATGCCGCTTTACTTCCACTTCTTTTGTCAATCCTTTGCGAACTGTTTCCCATGCCTTCACATCTCCTGCTTCGTTACCACATCCTTGTGACATGCGTAGTATTTCTTCTGCTTTGATCGGGTAGCTCCATAGATTGAACCCGCTCAGTTTGCCCAGCACGGTTGATATGTTTTGGTAGGGTGATCTAAAACCGATTGTCATGGTTCCTCCGCCTAAAAAAGATTCATTGTTTATGAGCAAAGTAAAAACTGTTGACCATTTTATAAAGCAAACATTAGAGAGAAATAAAATAACATTAAAGTTATCGGGGGTGGCAAGAACGAAACAAAAAATAAGATATAAACAGTGTTTTGTGTACTTATTTGATTACTGTCAATATATTCCAAAATAACGTAGATGTATTTATCAGGATTGTTACAAAGGACAAACGGCAAAACAAAAAGATGTAAGAGAAAAATACAAAAAAACAGGCATAGCAGCATACGCCATATTAGGGTGAGGTGCTGCAATACATTCTATGTAGCCTCAAAGCCATATTATTGTTTTTTTACACTTTCACGCCCCGTGATTACTTACTGTGGATAATCTAGTTTTATTCATACAACTTTGATAAAGGATTTATTGAGGGTAGAATTGTAAGACTTGTAAGAAAAACGAACTCATTGGCATCAGAATCGCTTCCCTCCGTAGGTTACTCGGATCTCTTGCTAACTCGACAAGAGTAGTATAGTTTAGTGTAAGATTCGTCAGTTGATGCTGAGGATTCAACCTATTCAGCGAAAAATGCTGCAGAAGGATGGAGCACATTCGGGGGGAATCAATCTTTGTGCTAAAAAAACCCCAAAAAATTTAACTCAGGGAAATCCCAAGCTTAGAAGCTGTAAGTGTACAATACAGTTAAACCTTAGGAAATGTGAGAGGTACGTCATATGGAGTTTAAAACAATAGAACAAGAGTGAAGAGTGAACGTATCCTCTGGAACACCAAAAAGTGACCATTGTGGAGAGCTGGGTGGTAGAGGTTATACTGTATAATGAGTAAATAGTATACCACTTAAGTAATAGCAGAGTACCTTCAATCCACCTGTTCCGTGCGCCTGCTTTATATTCGTTGGACAGGTATTTTCTTTGACCATTCTTATAAACACTTAGCAGCCTATTTTTTCGTTCCCATGTCACACACAGGTGGTGCCACGATCCATCAGCCACATTCAGTTCGATTTCTCTGTGCACGAGGCAATATCAAACATTGTACAGTTTATTGCTTACAAATTTTAATGTAGGTCTTAGGTAGGTCTTAAGTAAGGATTTCTAATTTTAGTGACAACAGACTCAGAAAATCCTACCAACTCCACAGAAATACGTAAAAATTTTAGTGCTGGCCACCAAATAGCTTTCAATTTTTTGCAGTCCTAATGAGTTCATGGAAAAAAATTGAAACCTGAAGCTTCTATTATAATGAAAGACAATCCTTCTGTATAATGATCTTGCCGCCTTGCATGGCACAGAAAGTAACAAGAGAACAAAGAGAAGTAGGGAAAAACATATGAGCAGCTTACCCCTTTCTCCAGACCTTTGCCTTTCGATTTTGCCTGAATTAACTTTACTTAACCATAAGCATCAATTTACCTTATTATCTTGTAAAAATGAATTCTAAAGGTGCTTTTGTCATAGTAGAATCCAAGAACAGTTGATTCGTTTTGTTCTGATACAACTTTGTACTCAATAACAAAACCACTATGCACCGTGTTCAACCAGAAGCACGAAGTAAGGCCAACGTAAAGTGGAGGAATATCCGACAAAGACACGTATCCAAGACTTTCGTCGGGAAGATGGATTTCGTAGTTGTCCAGATCAATGACTTCTATAACTGTAGAATTGGAAATCATTAACTTGCAAGCATTTGGATTATTGACATAAATATACCTAGTAGTTATTTGAGATAGTCCTATAACTGTCCAGTGGGGGAGCCGATTCCGTCGACCATGTAATAGGGTAATTGTTGTAAGTACTCTGATCCATCAACTGCAAACGACCCATTCTGGTCACGTTGCCAACAGGGACTCATATATTTGTGGTCTAGTACTATCTACATTCCCTTTTACTATCAACGCCAAATGTACGTTATCAACGTCTGTTATCGGTCTTGTATTTATACACTTTATTGTCCAAGCATGAGGGAAAATTGGCCGGATATTGGTCAGGGCCCGGTTCCTCGAAAGATGGTTAAGTTTAAGCCAGTATTAAGCCAAATTTCAAGCATAGTATTCTCGTCTAAGAACATGCAACTCGAGGTTACATTATACTGTTTAGTCTTTACCAGGAGATACAGTAATAATAGCACAAAATGTTACCCTGAGCAATGTATAGGAATGTAAAATACAAAAACGGAACAAAATTTTAATCTTGGATTAACACTAATCGACATTTCAGGAACCGGACCCTGGTTCTTTTTCAGTGGGTTTTCACGGACAGAGGCGAAGTCGAACTCACTTAAAAAGCGCAAACGGACGAGGCCAATATCATTTCATCAAGACAAAACAAGCTTGGTCAATAGAGG